GCAGGTGAAAATCTCTACTGTGTCCTGGCCACTCTAACCCTGACACGTGCTCTCCCAGCTCCGCTTCCCAGCAATAATAAAGGAAGAGGAAGAAAGCCTTCCCTCCACGGTGAGGTGTAAGACCAGCCTGTGGGAACAAGCCAGTGTTTAACAACAGCAGCTGTGCACCCAGCACTGGCCCACGCTGGTGGCAGGATCACGCTGCACCCACGAGACCCAGCGTGCCTGCCCCAGTTCACGTCCTCAGGCTCTGCAGCCACATCCCCAGAGGATCCTGGCTCCAAGCAGCAATCCCAGCACCCTGAGTCTGTCCTCTGCAGCCTCCCCACTTCCAGCCTTCAAAACCACCCCTCTTTCCCCCTAGAGCGGCCTTGACTCCCCTGCAGGTGATGGACTCGGGGGACAGACAGCTCGGGAGGCTCCAGCTGCAGGGCAGCTCAGAGCAGGGGCTGCCAGGGGCAGTCCTTGGGAAGGCAGGATGGGATTCAACCACCTCAGAGAACACACCATGGACAAGCATTTATGGCCCAGCCACCCTATCTAGTCACTCCTGTGAAGGCCAGGAGCATGGCAGAGTCCATCTGGAGGCTGATGAGAGCCATCCCGTGTCTGCAGACCAAGCAGCACAACACCAGCGAGTGGGAACGGATAAACTATGAGATCCAAGGGGAGATTAGGCCGCAGTTTAATGTTTTGTTTCATATAAATATAACATCATTTTAAGCTGCAGTCACACATCCCACCAGCCAGTAATTATCAGGTCCTAGAACAATTCTTCCATATGGATCAAAAAAAAAGTGACTCAAACAAGTGACTCAAACAAACATTGGAATTTCAGGCTGAGTTCCCCCAAGTAGATCAACCCCATTTCCTCCTCCTGGGAACAGTGCAGGAGAGGCAGGGCACTGCCCTTTGCCCAGTCACTCCCCACCTCCTGTCCCACACCACAGGTCCTGTCAGCCCCTTCTCCTGCACCCAGAGAGAGACAAAGGTGGCCCAGGCACAGGGCAAGCCACCACCGAGGAGTCACAGCTTTAACTGGTCCCCTCCCCACCCCAGATGCCCAAGTATAGAGCGAGGACGCACTTTTCTCCATCACCACACCCACCAAGGACAGCCCCAGTGACCAGCACGTCACAGCCAGTGACACAAGGGCACAAGGGACACAGTGGAAGAAGGTCTGGGATGCCTCGGATCCCTCATCTTTCCTCCATCTCTCCTGCCACTCCCAAGAGAGCAGCAGTGAGCCAAACCCAAAACCAGCAGAGAAGAAAGGACTTGAGATCTCCTCTTTGTTCACACCAAAGCGCTGAAACCCAGTTATGCCAACAGGGAGGGTGGACACCTTCCACCCCCAGCCAGTTGTCTGGGTATCCCACATCCTATCCTGCAGTTTCGGAAAGAGAGGATCAATCTTTACCAGCTGTGACAGCTCACAGCCCCAGCAGCTCCTGCCTGCTCTGTGCCCACCCAGGCCTGCGCCCTATGAGGCTTCTGCTGCTGCTGAGATGATACTTGAGACGATCCCAATTAGAGAAGTGAGGCTGTCACAGTCTCAGCTGCACGAGTGAGATGAGAAAACTAATGGTGTCACCGAGTGTCTGCAGGAACAAATTTACAAACCTAATCACCTCCCAGCATAGCCAGGCTGCCAGCGCCTGAAGCAGGGTGATAGGGGAGAAGAAAGCTTTTGGGACACTTAAAGAATATTAATTCACCCCAATAGGAATCGGAACTGTCCTTGCCTGTAATCAGCAGCAGAACTGAGATCCTGAACTGGAATATTAATGCAAGTGCTCCATGGGAGATGGAAACCTCTCAAAACCTCTCTCAAATGATGAGAATTAAACATTAGAAGCACAGCACAGCAAACTGCAATGCAGTTGTGGTGTCGGGAGGAGCCTGCTGAAAGGGGAGGCTGATAAATTCTGTGGGAGATGTGACTGTCTCCTGGTAGTGCCCAGGACAACAAACCCTCACCAACAGCTTCCCAACACCCTGATTTTTTTTCTTCTAGATACCCTTGCAAACTTGGGTGTGATCCCTGTTTCTCTTTTAAAAAAATAGGATAAGTGGATCAGGTGCATCCTGTGTGCCTAAACAGCGAGGAAGTCACAGAGAGTGCAGCCACTACCTGGAGCATTCTGTATACCCTCCTGCTCCTCCCCACCAAAGCAAAAGTCCCACTCCCTTGCCCTGCTCCATCACAAAATGGGCCACGGCCTCCACAAACAGGGAACAGGGTTAAATCATGACAATCCAAGAGTGATCCTTTGGTGCTCAACTATTGATGAAAAGGGAGAAGTCACAGCCTTTTTTAGCAAAACATCTTTGTAAGAAGCATGTCAACAGCGTATCTTAACTTTTCTGCACACACAGCAGCTTCACAGTAACAACCACACACGGCACTGCAGAGCATCGATGACTGACGCTGACAACAAAACAACAGAACACGTCCAGGAAGAGCTCTATTATCCCCTGTCGCTTACATGACAGATCCCCTTTATTAACTAGTTTGCCGTCAGAGAAAATTAACGAATGAGAGATAAACCGGCTTTCTTTGTCGTTAGTATCTCTATTGTTTTCTTATGCATCAGGTTAATTTAGTGTTGATGAAAGCGAGGATTAAAAGCCTCAGTTGCTGTGAGGGGGGTGAAGAGTCTTACAAGAAGCCCCATAAGGAGCTCAGACGCTTTGGACCACAGCTGGGCTGGGAGACCCGATGCTGCAGGAGGGCAAATCCCGGGGGGAAGGCGAGGAGGAAGGGAGTGGATGGACCCCTGGCCATCCGGGATGGGCTGCAGGCAGCTCCCACCTCCCTGTTGAGGCTGTGGAGCCGCAGGAGCAAAGATGCCATTTGCGAGCACCAGGCGGAGCTGGTGCGACAGGCTGCGTGTGTAAAGCTTTGTTTGTCCCCGGGACGGAGCCACAGCACCAACACAGATGTAAATACCCTGCCTGAGCTGAGCAAACGAAAATTCCCACCCCAGACCCAACCAGCGGAAATCTGGGAAGCTTGGCTGTGCTCACAGGGCTACCTCAGGGTTTACAAAGGCGTTCATGAAAGATGAATCTGGTCCAGAACTCGGGAAAGAAGAGTGCATTGAGCGTTTGCTTCCCCAAAAGAATCAAGCTTGCCAGCTTCTTCTTAACATGAGAGGCTGAGCCTGTGGTCTCACTGCCGACCCCAGTGGTTTCCTGGGTGCCCGCCTGTGCCACGGCACCGTGCCAGGAGTGGGGAGCAAAGGAGCATCCCCTGCCTTTGTGCTCGTATCCAGGCATCCGGGAGTGTTCCCACTTCTCTCTGGCAACTTAGCCCTCAGAAATACCACTGCGCTTGCTTCAGATGAGGCAAACCCCACAATTTCTGTAGCCAGAGGCTAAAACAAAAAAAAGCAACAGCAGTCACCTTCGCAGGTTGTGTGTTAAGGTGACCCAGACCGAACTCTCCTGTTTCCCCTGACCCCTGCTGCCCACAGCTGCTTTTCTCAGCACACACCCTGCTCCTGCAAGAGCGGATTTCCTCCCTCCATCACCCGGACTGTGCAACTCACCCAGGAGAAAACTGGGTCTGTCCACCATCCCGCCTCGTGAGCACAGCCATGGCAGCATCTCTGCTCCCTCCTGGCAACTGGGCCACCCAAGGCAGAGCTCACAGGAGTCCCGGGATCACAGGAGTCCTGGGATCATGCTCCCACTCCTGGGAGTGACACTGACTGTCACATCGCTGGGTGCCCACCGCCCTCACAAAGTGCACACCTCAAAATTAAAGCCTTGGTTAGAGGGTGTCAACCAGTAGTGACCACCTTGGCTGGTGCCCATCAAGGTGTCCATCAGGGGAATCAGCAGCTCAGTGTCCACAGCACCATTACCCCAGCCAGGTCAGAGCCATTTCCACCACACTGAATCATTTATGTGAAGCATGACGTGTACAAAAGGTAAACCCCCACTATGTTTTCCCTTCCTTCAGGGTTGTGATGCCATCACACCTCTAACTTGTAAAACTCCCTCCTCGGTTTCCTACCAAGGCTGTTTTCCCTGGTGTGCTTTGCTGGGATCAGCACAGGGGATGGGAAGCCCCAGCTGAGCTCGCTGCCCCCGCTGCCAGCCCCACACACCTTGTGCATCCACCCGTTTTGGCTGCTTACCTGGAAGCTCCTTGCTTGTTGTTTGGGACACAGAGCTGCAGCAGACCCCTGCCAGCCCACACTCCTTATTAGTCTGTTTTAAAAACCTGAAAGACATGGCACAGTATGCAAGGAAGGAGGATAAAACAGAGACTGCAGAGATATGAACAGTCAGGAAAATGTGAATCTTTGCCTTCCACTACTGAATCCATTCATGGAGTAACTGTGCCCTCTGGCACCTCACCTACCTGCCTGTGTAATACCTAGCACAAATGCTGTTCTGCATTTAAAATACATATACTTTATACACTCACTGTTAAAAGCAGTATTTTCAGAGCAGTTTGACTTGAAGCTCTTCTCTTCTGTGATCTATTGCAGGCAGGTCAAACTAGTATCATTGTCCTCTTTTCTGTTTTAAATGATGGAGCATTTCCCCCATGCAAGATTCTGACCTTCTGCCTGTTAAGCACCCTTTTTCTCTTAGATAAAATAAGATTATGCTAAACAGTCACCCCAAAGTACCTTTGGCACGAGGGAGTAGAGAGAAGGCCGTGAAATATCTCTTAAAAGGTGTTTCTCCCAGGAATCCCACTTCTGGTTTTATTGCTGAGTTCATGACTACCCTGTCCATGCCCACTTCTAGGGCTGTAGACCCATGTTTAGACATCACTGCCCTGCTCTGACCCCCCTCCTCTCTCCTTATCCCTCCCAGCCCTCCCTCACACAACCAGCAGGAAGCCTGGAGAACCAGCCCACCCACAAGGTCCTCTCTTGGCTGCCTCCCTGGTTGACCAAACATCTTCTCCAGCTCTGAAAAGCCCTGGCAAAGTTTCTAGTGCGCTAGATAAGATTAAATAATCACCCTCGTAGATGTAAAACACCACAGTGTGATTTATTAAAAAGTCCAAAATTCTTACAGAGCTCATGAAAACATGGAGGGGGTGTTTGTAAATGCCCAGTGAACTAAGTGTCCTGTTCTGCAGGTTTTGGTCCCTGAATCAAAGGGTACTTGTGCATCACCAAGGCAGCACCAGCTGGGAGGGCATGGAGGTCTGGAGTAGGGACTGCCCTGTATCCCCCACAGCTCTTCAGACCAACTTCTCCTAAACCCTGAGCTAACACACCCTGCAATGGCACAGCTCTCCAGCCCCACAGGGTTGCACAGCCCAGCAGCAGCAGAGGGGCAGGTAAGGAAGCTGTGCAGTTCAGCCCAGGCTGTCCTCACCTGGCACATGCACATGTAAATACCCAGAAAATTGTGTGGAACCCCCTTGGAGGAAGGGTGCCCATCACCCCCTGCTTCTCCTCAGGCCACAAGAAGCCATGGCCTGTCAAACTTGAATCCTGAGCCAAGAGGTGATGAGAAGGCACTCTCCAAACAAGTTCACATTTTTGTGTAAAGCAGAATTCAGATATATTTAAAAGGAGAAAATACCTGTTTATTGTACTCTTTGGAAGGTAAGTATTATCAGATGTAGCTTTTCTTTGAATAATTTCACTTCTCTGTCATATTTTTTCCATCTCTTTTCCTTTGGGATTTATTTAATCCTCCTTGAGAAAACTGCTGATCAAGATGGGAGTTATTTCAGCATCTGTTGCTGAAACGTTACTTCATTTCTTCTGTCCTTTTTACTCTCCAGCACCCAGCAATTCCCTCCAAGATTCTTAATTTCTCTTGTCTTCTGTTAATTAAAACCCAGTTGGGATTGCCTGCTGATAACTGCACGCTGGTATAACAAAGCCTGGCCTGTTGCTGGGTTCATTTTGCTCAGTGTCATATGAATAGCAACAGCAGGTCTTACTGGCACTTCTCTGCAAGTGTTTGTTTTTTGTGTGTGCTGCGCTAATTTGGGGAAAAGATCTCACTAGAAATGTTTTCCTTGAAAAATATTTTAAAAAAACATTCCTATGTATCACATCTTGCATAAAATTGACAACATTGGTAAATTTTAAATACCAACAACAGGGGAATTGAGAAGGAACACAGAGGAAAATCAGCATAACCACTGTTACCATGCCACTATCTTGTCCCAGCATGACCCGGCAAGGCAGGGTGAGTCCCCATGGCTGGGGGCATCCAGCTGCTTAGGCAGCTCAGGGAAACTGCACCTTCACACCCCATCTGAAGATTTCACTGGCTATTTTTTAGCATCTTAGAACAGCTCTAGGAGTCATATGGCTCATTCCTATTCATTGCACAATAATCCCCTAATCTATTCTGCATTAAAAAAAAACCCAACCAACCAACCAAAACTTTATGTAAATACAGCGTTGTTTTTCCTGCTTTGCCTCCAGCCTCCTTAACATCTCTCCATGGAAAGTTAGTGTCTATCTCGATGCATCCACTACTGAGATGTCACAGCTACAGGGGTACAACTGAGCAGCAGCAGCAGTCACAGCACAGGGAGGCACAGTACGCCCAGAAGTGCCTTCCTGTCATTTGGGAAAGATAAGTCCATCTGGCACGTTTGCTTTCAGTCATATAAAGAATTCCTCCTCCTCGTCCTCTGCTCCGTTTGCAGGACTGGCTGGTGGCGTGTGCGAGGGGAAGCCCAGAGCTCTCTGCGCCGCTCCTTGACTCCTTCTGTCTGCAGCCAACGGCAGCTGGGTCCCGTCCTGGGAGGGCAGGGCACTGCTGGCCCCATCCGTGGGGGCTTCCAGCTGCAGGAGGCTGCTCCGCAGGGCCCCGGAGAAGTGGTTCAGTGGGCAGCGGCCGCTCTCGGGACCCACCACGGCGAGCCCGGTGTCCACGTCGGTCTCCATCGCCTGCCGCCTCCTGGGTGCCTCCTTGGCACGAGGAGCCTGCATCCTGCTGCTCACCTGCCTGCGGAGGGACGGGGCGTCCCACTGCCACCGGGCTGCTGGAACACTGTGGGAAGAGCAGAAGTGCCTGTGCGGGTCACCGCCGGCTTGCTCGGGAGCAGGAGCTTCACTTCTGTCAGGTTTTGTTTTACCCTTCCCGGCTCTGACTTCCTGGCTCCTCCGCCCGGGATTTCCCTGCTTTACAGGGAGAGGGGCTGGGAAGAAGTCCTGCAGGATTTTTCTACTGCCCGTGTTATTATGCTGATGGGAAAGCCCAATGTTTGCTTCAAGGTACTTGGAGCTGTTTTGAACCTGTTGAAGAAGAAAAATCAGAGAGAACCCTGTTAACACGTGGTTGTAGCTTGACCAAGTGGTGATGCTCTTGCCCAGCCACACTGCGCTGGGGTCACCTGCAGCGTGAGACAGTCAGAGCCCCACCAGAACAGCACAGGAGTCTTGCAAGCCTAAGAAATGGCAGATGGAACAAAGCAGAGAATGTGATGCATGTGGAGAAAACCAACGCCAGCTTCGCATCCAGAATTCTGGGTCGTGAGCTGACCATAACTGGGGTCTCATCTCTGTGACAGACAGCTCTGTGTTAGCATCAATTCAGTGCCTGATGGCAGTCTGGAAAGCAAATTAAATCTTCAGAATTATTCTTACCAGAATGGAGGACATTGTTATGCATGGAGCAGCTCTGGTCCCAGAGCAGGACCACCTGCAGCCACAGCAGACCATTACGGAGCTGGAAATGATCAGAAATGGACAACCAGGGTAATTGCAAGCACAGTAAAGAAACAATCAGGTAAGCTGGGAATTTTAAACCTTGGACAAAAAACAGTTTGGGAGGGAGAGGATAAAACACAGTGAGCCACCTGAGAAGCTGACAGATCTTGTACAATGCAAGAAGAAGAGACCATCAAATGAAGTCAGCTGGAGCCAGCTCCAACCAAAGAAAGGGGGCAGCAGACCTGGGGAAGTCCTTGCCAAAGTACATTGTGGATAAAAGAATTCACGTTTTCCAGGGGAATCTAGATAAACCCTTGAAAAGGAGTTACCACAGCTGACATCAGGGGGGAATGACAACTCTGTGTGGAGTCTGTGAGCAGACCCTTTGCAGTATGACAGAAATTTGGGGCAGGGGGATAAACTGCAGATACTTAGAATAAAGATTTACAGTATGAACTAAAGAGCTGCAGAATAAAGTGTCCCACACTAGGCTGCGTGGAGCATGGACACAGGATACATCCTCAAGTTCAAGTGGATTACACCTTCCTTTGTGAGGAGCACAGTGCAGCACGGCTACATCCCTCCAAAAAATCTTCTGAATTTCCTGCCAGTGAATTTGTGTACAACTGTCAGCTTAAAGACCTTGCATCTGCAAGCAGGAAGAACCACTGAGTAATTTAGGAAGGGACCTTTGGAGGTTGCTTGGCCCCGTCCCCTTCAAAGCTTCATGAAGATGTCCAGGGCCTTGCCCAGCCCGAGAGGGGGAAAAACTGGTTTATAAAGCCATACTGAAGGAGGCAGCAAGGACTGCCTGATTAGTGTTCAGAGGATTAGTGTTCAGAGTAGCATAAAAATAGGCTGAACAGAGAAATTAACTTTATCTGTAATAGATGAGTCCTGGAAGAAAAAAAGAAAAAGCACGGGCAAATAATTTAAAATCCAAATTACAAGAAAAAATAACCAGAGGTGGGAGGGGTTGTTACAACTGAAAGAAAGCACACTGAGCTAAATGGCCCTCCTGCTCACATGTATAATTCCTACTACATATCATCTCAGCACAGACTTTGTCTTTTTTTATTTATTTACTTGTATTCATATAACCCCTGGGCTGCACACTCGAACAGAAAAGGGAGAGATCTCCTATGATACATCTTTTCAGCCCTTTTGCCCAACTGCATCTCACTCATGAGCTTACACTATCTATTGCAGGCGATGTTGTATCAACACTACGCTTAAAAAGTTTCTGGTTCTGGATGCCAAAAATCTGCTTTCAAAAACATTTATGCTGCAGTGACTTGTCAGAAAAAGACTATGCTATGATCATTTGTTTGAGGCAGGGAAGATGTTATACTAGCTGCTCTAAAAAGCATTAATACTCTCCACTTCGAGCAAGCAGTAATGATAATAATTTAACAGTATAAAAACATTTCAAGGCTCAGTGCTTGTATTTATCAACAGCATCACAGCACCGGCAGACACCAATTACTGCACTCACAAATTCAAAAGAAAACAAGGACAAACAAAATCATAATTTCCATTTTGAACCAGTCCTGTTTTTCTCGGGGGGAAAAAAAAAAAAAAAAATTAAACCCCTCCTATCAGAGCACCACAGGCACATACCTGAAGCAGAATCGTATTTCCTTCGTAGTCCTGTGTTTGCCACCTGGTGCTGCTGATGGGAACACACGGGTTGGGCAGGAGGGGCACCAGCTGCCCGATTTCTTGCACCTTGAACTGCAGGGCTGACGCCTCCCTGGGCTCAGCAGCCACCCCGATGGGCAGCTGCTTCAGGCAGAGCTGCACGGCCGCGTGTTGGGTGGCGTGCAGCACGAACACAGAGAAGCTGCTTTTCTGCACGGCTGCTTCTTTCTGCAGGATCATCTCGTAGAGCCTCACTGCGTCCTCGTAGTTATCAAAGCTGCAGTAGAGGGTGACCCGCAGGATCTCGGGGCCGCAGTGCACCCGCCTGATGCCCCACACGGGCAGCCGCTCATCCAGGGCATAGAAGTCCTGGTGAGCTGGGGCATAAGGGTGGCTTTGCCCATTAGCAATCTGGGCACGCTGGTACCGCCAGGGCGGGCGCTGGAATTGCTCGTGGACCTGGAAAATCCGTTCTTCTCCCAGGTCCTCGTGTAGAAAGAGGAGAACAGACATTCCAGGAAAGCCGCAGTTTCTCCTGCGATATCTCTCGTAGTATTTCGATGGAGCCATTCGCTCAGACACCAGGAAAAGGCGAATGTCCAGGCAGATCCACTCCAAAAGCCGGTCCAGAGTTTGCTGCAGGAGGAACGAGTGGCCCAAATGGGCAAGAAGATGCACAGTCATCAGAGACTCTGCTCTGTCGTCCATTGCAAAGGCTCCTGACAGGGAAATAAAACCAGACAAATCGGTGCCTTCCCTCTCGTACTGTTTTACAGAGGTGCACTCTAAGAATTGAACAGAGTGAATTCAGATTTCTACAGGCTTTGCGACATCCTGATGAAATACGTGGGCAAGCAGAGCGAACATGCACGAGGTGGCAGGTGAGGAGTGACAAGGCATTAAGTGAGCAGTCTCAGGTCACTCACATCACCCCACGGCTCAGGTGAAGGCTCACTTCTGACTCCTGGGACCGGAGCTCTGGTCACTGTGTGCACACATGACCAAAAGCGTCCAGAAAGTGCTCTGTCCTACTGCCCCCTGTCCCTCAGAGCGCAGGGTGGCAAAGATGGACAGCACCCAAGCACCAGAGCAGAACTTTTCCAAAACGGGGCGGTGCCGTGGGTGGACTTGCCTGTCGGCAGTGGAAGCGGACAGCCCTGACCCGGACGAGTCCCACCAGTGTGCATCCCGGTACAGCCACGGCACTCACGGCTGAAACTCTCCGCGTGTTCCCTTGTGGTCAGCAGGTTGGCTCCGGCTCATTGTGAAAAGCCTGTGATGTCTGTGAGTCACACCCTTCTGGGGCACACAGATAAGCTGCTCTTTAAAAAACAAGGAAGGAAAGCGGACTAACAAAAGAAAGAAACCCAACCATGTGAACGCGACAGATAACAATAAGGGCAGATATGGATCGGCCTCAGGAAAGAGGAGCTTTGGGAAAAATTCATCGTTACGCCCTTCACAGCACAGGTAGCTCGCTGCCTAATTGGAAACCAGGCCCTGGGTTCTTGTACATAGCCCGTAGGAGCTGGTTACCAGGTTTCCCCCTTTCAGTGCACTGGGGTTTTTTTGATTATGAGATACCCATGTAATCAGCAGCCTTAAGCAAAGTCCAAGGTGGTTTTTTTCTTGCTCTTTGGGTTAATTGTTGGTACTTAATTTAGCTTACTGTGTAAGCTACAACAGGAATGCTGAAAATGCACCTCTTTCCAGGCTTCTTCTAGTGACTGGACAATAAATCACACTCCCTTCATCTCCTTATTTGCTAACCCAGGAGCAACACATGCAAGCCAAGCCAACTCCCATTTCCTCTACACAACTGCTCCCACTGTAGCCAGTATTAAAATCAAAACTGGGGCCTCTGATGGTGTATCCAGCTCCATCTAATTAAGAGCAGCACACCTCTCTCTGCTGACATGCCAGCTTCCCTCTCAAACAGCCAAGCACACAAAGCAGTGGTTCATTGTGCAGAAATCCCAGCATTAATAAGTCTGTTATTCAAACTCTGAACTAATTTTTCTTTTTTTATATGACCCTAACTTTATATTCAACTGAGCAAAATCTCCAAGGTCTAAAGGTACAAGCAGCACTGCCTTGGTTTCCTTTATGGAGATCCCTCTCACTGGTAGAATCTCACATTCAATGCTTTAAAAACCTGCACTGACACCCATGTACAATAACAATAAAAAAGATGGTCTAGAAAATGAGGGAAAAAAATTAATTTGCACCCACCTGCCACACTTTAAACAAGTAACAACCCTGTTGGGAGGGACACACAAAAAAAAGAAAAAAAATATCAAGGCTTCAGACAATTACAGGAAGAGAGCGAAGAAAAGAGTGCAAGTGCTCAAAACATTATAACGCTCTAGATGAGCTCTGAACAACACGATTTCACTAAAACATGGGAAAGGAAATGATTCATCAACTCTTTGCTACAGGGCAAGGGCAGGCAGTCATCCGCCTTCCTGCACGTGAAGGGGAATTTTGCAGGGCTTGGTTTGCAGCTGGAAGCTGCTCCAGGATCCCGCGAGCAGCTCCCTGCCCAGGTGATCACACCTTGTGCTGTACCTGCCCTGCATTCCCCCTCCTCACTCCTCCTCCTGAGAACTGCTGCCTCTCGTGGCAGCGGACAGGGAGAAGGTGATGAAGGTGTTTGTGATAAAGGTATTTGTGATAAAGGTATTTGTAACGTGAACTCTTGCAAAGCAGCTGTGAGGAGCAAGGGCTAGCGAGCCAGGAGGGGTGGGGGTTAGGGAACAGCGCACATGCCGAGTCTCTCTCCAGCTCTCACTGTAGCCAGGGGAAGCCAAATTGTTTTCCAGATGGGCTGGTGTCTCCCACAGAGACTGCTGAAGGTGACCAGCATGCCTCCTGTAGCTGCCAACCATTTTGATAATCACCACACTTTACAACAGCCAAAAACCTGAGCCTACCCACAAAAAAAAAGGGTTAAATCCTGATCCCTGCCACCATCTGCTTCCTCTGTGCTTGCTGGGGTGGGACAGGGAAATAATCTCAACTCTGAACTCCATCTGATGGAGCTGACTGGATAACAGTTTTAGGCCTGGCTCTCAGTGCTCCTGCAGCTCCAGGTCAGGAGTAGCCACCAATCCTATTGTGTGGAGCATGAGATGAACTGAACTTCAGCCTTTGCCTGATCCTCTCCCTCAGAGGAGGGCAGCCCCACCACCCACCCTAAACACTGTCCAGCACAGGAGCACTCTGCTCTTCCTCCCCTCGCTTTGATGTCTAAATGCCCATGGGAAAGGGCTCAAATCCACGCTCCTCAGCCTCGGACAAGGGTATTCTCATGTCCTCACTTTATCTCCAACCTATGGCTCCCCCCCAGCCCCTAAACCTTGGGATAAGGCCAGGGTGCCATGGCCCTCACTGCTGCAGCCTGGTGAGTTCAGACCTTCTGTCCACTGCTTTTCTCAGAGGCACCAAGGAGGTCTTGGTGGGTGGAAAAGGGTTGACTGCCATCAGAACAAAGTGCTGGCTTTTGCTGGACCTTGTAAGAAAAGTAAAGTGCTGATTTCACTCCGATCCCTGAATGGAGCGAGTCCTTGACTTCCTCTCTGCTTCCCCTTCCCCCAGCATTCCAGTTTGGCTGCCAAATGGAAAAGCACATTATTCATAGTGACCTACTGAACACGCCAAGAAAGATTTCTTCAGGAGATTAGAAGAATAGCACTGCAATTTTATGTGAGAAGTCACTTTGCCGAGGGGAGGAGGGGAGGGTAATTCTGATATGGGTACTCAAACAAATATACTGGAGCCCCATTTCCACATGGCAGGGACTGGTTACACAGCAGAATGCACTGCAAGCTGCTGGGGCAGCCCAGCTTGGTGTAAGAAGCAGTCAAATATGAGTATTTGTATGTAGCACTAATGGATATACTGGTAAGCCCTGCACAAAATAAAGTCCAAATTAAACAATTAACAAACAGTTTATTCTGTGAAGGCTCAGAGAATGCTGTAAATCTAAAATACTACAGTGGAAAGGCACAGCAAAATAATTAAAAATTACTTTTCATAATGAATTCTTAAGAGGTGCCTCGTCCTCTGTGCTGCTCACAGCCCTCCTCTCCAGCTCACACCACCAAGACTGATGATGCATCACAGGATTTAATAAGTTCAGAGTAACATCTGCGAGGAAGGTACTTTATTAGGATTATTAGAACATAATTAACTTGGGAGAGACTGGGTATGAATTACCTAGAGCACCTTGGGAGAAAGCTCATTAAATACATGCCATGACTTGGGCTTCCTAACTTCTTTTAAAAGAAGACAATTTTTTGTTTTACACCAGTCTCAAGCTCTGCCTGTAACAAGGACAAAACCACTTAATGAACCTGCTAGATGACAATTATGTACAGCATAGACAGTACTGAGACAAAAATCAGGATTAAGGCCTCACTGGACTACAGTAATCTTTCCAAAGAGTTTATCTCTGGCTGCAAACCTTGTGATTCCAATTCATCATTACTTTGGATGAAAGTAAGGAGCCAATGACCGAAAGAGCCAAACCCCATCTAACCTACTGCTTTTATTTAGGTAGACTTCTCTCCCAATCGATTCTCGTCTCTTCCTTTTAACCAGCTAACAAAAAAAGCAGGAATCCAGCAAGGTTCTGTCAGCAGACACAGAAAATAAAGAGAGAGCTCCGCCACACGCTGCGAGTCAGGATCCAGGCACATACCCACACAAAAAAAATAAAAGGAAGCAAAGTACAGCTATAAAGGGGAGAGGGTGATGGGAGCTCGGTGCAGGCTCAGCCTGTCTTACCTCGCCGAGCTGCGGGAGCGCTGCCCCTCAGCTGGGAGCAGCCCCAGCCTGGCAGCACCTCCTCGGCACAGGCTGCGACTCCTCCCATTGACGGGACAGCTGAGATGGGGACTCCTGCCCTGAGAAACACTGCGCTGGGAGATGCACGGACAAGGCAGAGCTTCAAAAGACTCACGGGAGATATAAAATGTAAACTAAAATGAGAGAGGTGTCTTCTAACACTCAGCCACAGCAGCCGGAGGAACAGGCGCCCTCCTGGCACTTCCAGTGCACGCTGTCAGAGGGACATCCAGGATTAAACCATGTTTTCCCTGGACACTCGGTGACTACATTAACAAAAGCAAAGCAGAGAAGTTGTCCTCAAGCAACACAGACTTTGGGGCAAGTGCAAGGCTGAGGGAGCGCTGAGACACAGAGATAAGCTTTCCATTAGTAACAAATGTGTAATTAAAAGGCCCTGCATGTCCTTGGCTGGCTTTTGTATTCGGTTCCCCCAAATCTGGGCTATGTGTCCTCAGCCAGTTACAGGGCACTTGCAGACAGATCAATTTTTCCTGTTTTCAGTTTGTCTAAAATATTTCAAAAAACCCCCAAAGCTCTCCATGCACCCAAACCAAGATCCATTAAACGAGCCACTTGGAGGTTATATCAGAAATGAGTATTCCATAACAAAGTGAAATCACAGAATGGTTCAATTTGAAAGGGACCACAGTGGGTCACCTGGTCCAACCTCCCTGCTCAAGCAGGGTCAGCCCAGGGCACACACAGCACAGGATTGCATCCAGATGGTTCTTGAATATCTCCAGTGAGGGAGACTCCATACCCTCTCTGGGCAGCCTGTTCCACTGCACAGTTATTCAAACAACAAAGAAGTTCTTCCTCATGTTCAGGTGGAACTTCCTGTGCATCAGGTTCTGCACGCTGTTTCTTGTCCTAGTGCTTGGCACCATCAAACAGAGCCTGGCTCCATCCTCTAGGCACCCTTCCTTCAGACACTGACAGACATTGAGGAGGTCCAGGTCGGCGTGGGACAAAGTGGGAGTCAGCTTGCCTACGTGTGAATGTGCGTGCCTCGCTTCACGGACTCATTTCTGAAAGATTCGACCTAGCAATTTTTATATAAGTTACACCTCAATTAAAAACCTTCCAGAAAAAAAGAAAACAGGCAGATCTTAAACAAAACCTAGACTTGCAGGGCCCAGCAAAGTGTTTGTTTAATCAGCTTACGTTTTGCATTGTTGAAGACAACTCAAAGCAAAATTCTTGGAAGGCCAGCAGCAGCCGCCGAGTGAAACTGCTCCCTGCCGAGCGCTAATAAGAGCGAGTCCCCAGGAGATGCTGAGCTCGCCAGCGAGGCCAAGCTCCAGCTTAAGGAACAAGTCTGACCTACGCAGCGTGAAGGCTTCTAATTACTCCCTTTCCTGAAGACGACCTTCCTGAGATACAGAATAAAACACCCCAAATTCTAATTAAAAAAAAAAAAAACAAAACAATCTTGGCCTGGATCCCACATTATGTTGGAATCGCAGATTTGCATAATTAAGTTGATACCAAATGCTGTGACAGACAAGCTGCAGGAGATTATTAGCCTCATCTTTAGCAGAATTTCAAAAGAAGCAAGCTCCAAACACCCAACACGTGTTAGCAAAGTGGTTCTCAAGGTCTAAGAAGCTCAGGTGTTACTGGGATTTGGGGCATGTTCTAGCAAACTTTGCACAGGAAAAGCTGCATGCAAAATCTCTCATGTGGCGTTACTTTGAGAACTTCAGGACTCCCCCCATTGTGATTTTTTCCTCCCAAGAACAGGACTGCCAAAAGGCTATTCATAAACAGGGGATGGAAGTTGCATCTACTGGTGGATTCCCCTTCACTCCCTCACAGATTCTCCTCAGGCAGACCAGAGTACAAGGCTCCCAGAGCACCACCTCCCCAGAAAACTTCCTGGTCCTGTCCACAGCTAATCCAGGTCAGTAGTTCCAAGCCTCAAGGAGGTGGAACAGGCCCATCTTTTCCCAAACAGCAATATGCTTCCTGCTTTAGGACAAACAGCTGCTGAAAGCAGGCAGACTGTCGGGCTGTCTAGAGACCCAGGCAGGTATTGCTGTGTTAGTTACAGTCACATCACACTGGCAAGATTTTCTTTGCAGGCAAAACCCGTGAAAAGAAAGGTCAGACTGTGCTTGAGAAGACTGAAGGAGCAGAAGTACCTGTGTGAACCTCCCGGGCGTAGTGTGGAATGAGGGAGAAATATTATGCTGCCATACACCAGTTTGTGGATGTACTTCCCTGAAATAGCTGGGCTGTCCTTGTAAAACCTGGCTTAACTTCAAAGGCTGTAAAAACACAGATATTCACGTTGTCATATTTACATCTAAGTTCCCCAAAGCAAGGACCAATGCTGCGGCTTTCCCTACAAAGGATAAATACAATGTGGTCACAACCAAGGCTCCATGTACTAAAGTAACGAGAATAAATAAATAAGATTAAAAACAAGAGGGTAAAAAAAAAATCCACCAGACTAAACATGATCCTAACAGCCTACCTGGACAGAAAGCATGATTATCCCTGGGCAGCAGGCTCGTTTCCTGACACAAACAGCAGTGGGTGTTGGTCAGCATGCTGTTGTTACAGCACCAGTCAAATGAAACGGTGTTGTGCAGTATCAGCAGGAGAGAAGCAAAGCACCTGTGCTGAGCACACAATTCACAGGAATCTTACAAAAGCTCAGTGCTAAAGAATCCAGAGGGTAACTTTGTTCTGTGTATTTGGTGCTGCCCCTGCCCAGCTGCTCACTGCTGGGGAACAACCTGCAGTGTCCGTGTGATTCTGCCCAGTGCAGCACTTGACGTTAAGAGCCCACACACAACTGAAAATTTGTAGGTTACCCAACTCTGCAACGCTTTCCCAAAGATGTAGTTACAGTAGCTGGAAGGCGAAATAAGTAAGTAGATAATAAATAATAAACATAAGTATATTTATCACTGCCAACTAATCCGCATACCTTGGAAGTCTCAAAGTTTTTTTCAGCTTGTAAGGAACATATTCGAGAAATAAAATCTTTCGTTATAACTTAAAAAGGTGCCCCATGAACTAGATTGAAAACTCACGATTTTCAGATTAAATTACAGATCTAACAGTGCTTTGTTTCATCATCTGACGCCTTGTATGTAACTGTCTCATAAATGTGACTACAATCCTACTAATGAAATTTTAATAAAATTACACATAAGTTTTGAGTGGAAACTAAGAAAGGAAGAGAAATGAAATTAGATAAGGCATAGCAAGAGTTCCCCTACGGACTGTAAATGAAATCCCACTAACATACAAGCACATAACCATTAAACTCACCTTAAGCAGAGTCCTAATGATGTCTTGTTCTCTCTGACCGGAGTTTTCATTTTGACCATCTTTCAGTCCTCAGCATCACAGTCTCACTGTCCAATGGTAAAGGGCAATTTCTAAAAAGTGACTTCAGCACAATGGACACTGTCTCTTAGTATTTGTTAGTGAAGACAGCCATCACCACCTGATGTTCTTCTGGCAAACACTCTTGCCTGCATAGCTTAAACCACCCTTAAACACGTAATAATACAGTCATCCATGTGACACTCATGCTCAGCACTCCCAAAAGCCACCACGGGTAGGAAGGAAGCTTCAGCTGATGCACAGCAGAAGTACAATAGCAACGTGAAGGACAAGCTCCCCCTGTCCCGAATTACAACACTAACGTCTCTGTAAGCTTCACAGGGAAAAGGACTTGAACCCACTTCTTCCTGAAAAGCACGTGGGAAAACATTAATGTGCAATATCACCACATCCACGCTGTTGAAGAAAAGATACACATAAAACCTTCATACTGTACACAGAGGAGTTACATTTTGAGGAGGAGGTTTCTGATGATTTTTAACAAAATCAAATCCCCAAATCAGCTCCAGCCTGTGGAGTACTGGCCAAACAATAACCACATCTCTATTGAATATTTGCATAATATACTGTGCGGAAGCACTGGTGTTTTAATAATGGCCAGCAAACACCTTTTCAGAAGGGCTGATGGCCCAGCTGATTTTTTGGGGGGCTAAATTCTTGATGGACAAGGGCAGGAAAGTCCCTCAGCCACCTCCCCACTCCGAAGACTCAAAAACTACCGTGTGTGGGGGTGTTGGGAGTGCGCAGTAAACTTGAACTTCATTAAAAAAGCTTCTAAAAATTAAGCTAAGCTATCGTCCTAATTCCAGTCCCCACCTTCAGAAGAAATATCCTACTCCTGAGCAATACCCAGGATTTGTATCTCAGCAGGCTGGAGAGGGGTGAAATTGTGAACACATGAAAAAACACTCTCCAGTCCCACTTTCACACTGCACCAGCCCCACGCACTTGTTTATTACAGCTCATCAAGAAGTGCTCCGGCAGATCCTCGATGTTCTACAACCAAGCTTTTCTTCTTGTTTCAATTCCAGCTCTACGTATTGGAAAGCCCATCCCAGTGATATTTTTCAAGATCTGTGGATGAAAGCAACGTGAACCAAGACAAAAAAAAAAATATTGTTTTGAATTAAATCAGAAAAATAGCTACGGCTGGAAAACCACGTAATATGTGCACTGGAACGTCAGAAATATGGTTTAATAAAAACTGCAGCACAATGCAGACTTGAAAATTTCTAACTACAAGAAAAATGATGCCACTAAACTGCTAATTTTAATCTATTTTTGCAGCACGCTGTCAAGAAGAAAAAAGTTCCAGGGTAAGAACTAAAAATTTCATTGCTGTAACAATTTTTTATTGCATGTTTAAAATGCGTTTTTAAAAACAAATAGTGCACGCTGGCTTCACTTTAATCTCCTGAAATATGCACTTATGATGGGAAGCCCTGGGGCTACAGATCCATCTAAGATGTTTATTAACAAAATATAATCCCAGTACATTTCCCCAGGGGACAGTTTTTAGTTCCAAAAGATTGTCAACCCTGTACTCTAACACACTTGAATTAGTTGTTTGTGTACACTAAATCCATTTATTTTAAATTTATTTTGTCTACATTTAGTGAAATAAAAACATCGCCCTGTACAATCCACCATCAGCAGTGAGTACAACAGCAAAAATTATTATACAGTTTATACACACTAAAATCTTGTCCTTTTTCCTATAAAGAAACCAGAACAAACCTAATCAATATAGAGTTTAATTTAGAAGAACTCAAATTACAGAAGGGAAAGCCAAAATTATTACGGTCTTTTCTGAGCCCCCAGAAGTTCCTGATTCATGTTGTTGGAACAGTGAGTGCAGCTGGAAGAGTGAAACATGCTCAAGTTGTCTTCTCGGGTCTTCAAAAAATTACCAAGTATTTAAATTAAACATGTCTAGTTAAAGAAACATCTGAAGCAGAGCAATATAAGTGGGAATTTTGCCTTACCACTCGTGGTTTCTTTTAAACCCAACTTATACAATGCGCGAAGTGCTAAGCAACACTACAGAAACACATTTACATCAACACTGAAGATCTGGGGAAATGAAATTCCAACAATTTTATTTTTTTTAAATGAGCTGTATTTTCTAAATTTGGTGTTGTTTTTTTTTTATTATTTTTTTATTTTTTTTTTTATTTCTCTGTTTTCATACAGTATTGAAAACAAACGCAGCACATTCACATTTTCCCGAAGAATTGTAAGGATGATCTCTACAGGGACAACGTTGAAAAGCCTGAAGCTCAATCAATTCAGGTTGAAAACTCTCAAAAGGAGTAAAAGGCTTGATCTGAATGGTCTAGAACATGTACTGTAATTTCAAAGAAGAGATGGTCGTCTTAATATTAATGATTTAAAAGAACTTCCCAGTTCATGCGAAGAGTATAGTCCAAGGATAAATCAAATTTTCTGAACGCATTTTATGCTACGTAAGTGTACACTTTGCGATCCTCAGGTGTTCGTGCCAAATATTCTCTCTCAATAAGTCCTTCAATACGTTTTTTAATAACAACTGGACTTGGTAAGAATCGGGCCTTCAGCTGCTGAGTTACCTGAAACGTAAAATAAAAAACACAATAATATAGGATTATTGTTACGACTACAGGGCAAATAAGATCTTAAAAGTAGCCTAACAGACCATAATAATCAGAAAAAAAAAAATATGAAGACAGAGATGGCTACAACTATGAAGCATAAGAGGCAGTCTGCAGACTTCTGACAGTCCCTCAAGTTGCTTGCTCGTGTTTGGGTATGATTTCAAAGCTTTACACAGGTGTGGTCACAACCTGAGAATCCTGAAGTTACTAAAAATTACTACTGTCCTGAAGCTGTCTGAACTTAAGAGTTACAAGCAGAAGGATTATTTCTCTCTGCTAAGAGCTGAAATCCCCCAAGCCTGAACTCAAAAGGCAGTAACAATATCAAAGCAGAAAATAATCACGTTAAGCACGGTGTTTTTTGTTGTCAACTGGTTTTCAAGGGATTTAAAATCATAATAGCACTAAAAGGAGGAAGGGAAATCAGATATACCCATAAGCACATCCTAAAGTAGAGGGTAAGGACTTAGATGTCTTCAGAAAGACAGGGAGAAAAAAAAAGGATAAATACAGCATCTCTCAAAGGCCTTTCAGAATCACGTTAGAAAGAGCTGTGTAACTTCAATGAGTTAACAGGAAAAGCAAAAAGAATTCCCGAGTCCATATCCCAACTGTGTACAATCATACCTCTGCTACTAGCACATTGTGTTGCATCTTCTTTCTAGATTTCATTATCCGAACTATAGCAGCTTCTATCTCATGTTTTCTGTCATCATCTACTTTCTGCCTCGTTTCTTTCCTTTCTGGATCAGATTCTCCTTGTTTGGCAGCAACTTAAAGGAAAGAAAGAGAATGTAAATGATGCTAGCAAAATTAGGATTTATTTCGTTGTGTGTTAGCTTCACTGTTTATTTCATCTAGACATCAAGTTATATTTTCCTGAGTTTTGACATTCCCAAAGTTGATTTTTTTTTTTTAAATGAAAAGCAGCCACAAGAACATATTAACAGTTTCTGGCATATTTTGATAGCAAGTGACAAGATAACAATCTGTTATTTAATTACTAGTATGTTAAAATTTGAACAGTATTCAAATGTTCTTACAGGCACAGGCACCACCAACCCCCACATCCCCATGCTCACGTTAAATATTTTTCTCTTTAATATAGCAAATAATCGATTTGAAGTAGAAAAAGGATTGAAAATTTACTTCACAAACTAGTAAACAATTTAAAAGTTCATCAGTCAGAAGAAACAGTCTAACTTTATCCCCTCCAACTCAGCTATATTATTTGTATTCTGTTCTCTTCTATTTATGTTATATTTCTGCCCTTAGGTTAAGCTTTTCTTTGCCCTTCACCCAAGCATCATTACAACCAAGCCCTCCTCCTGCACTGGTGTACCATTTTCCTCCTGCTCTTCTTCACTCAAAAGCCCCAACTATTCATCAGCTTTAAAGAGACACACATAAGAACTTCTCTGTCTTATGTCAGAAAGATAAACCCACAATTACATAGTTACTCTAAAATCATCTCGAACCCCAAATCATATTCCCCGTTCACAGACCTTTGTGAAGGGGAAATGAAAAAAGCAGAATTCTGTTAAAGCTCAGAGGGTTGTTACATAATCTGCTTTAATTTGGCTTCTGTGCTCCTGCTCACCAGGAAAAGCCTCCAGAGGTGATAAATGTGTTGCCAGTGCAGTGCTCTGCACTCACACAGAGGGGTACGTGCAGTGTCAGCTATGTAGGCACTGCTGGGTTTTACCTGAAGCCCAGCAAGTTCTATTATTTTAACAAATAGCACGTGAATTTCCCATGTTGCATTTAAAACACTCACTTTCGCAGCAGCACAGCAACTTTTGAGGCAATTGTGCTATTTCTGAATCAACCAGTAGCATATTTGTTATTTTATTATTTCATTTTATTTTTTCTTTCAGTATTTCCTTTAAGAGATAGTTACAAATTTTGTAAATTTTGTAAAAGTAAAAGGCTTAACTAACTGACTCCCACACTTTTCTTGGTATTTGAGTTTTCATTTTGATGCAACTAGTCATCATCTAAAACCCCCCTGTGTTTCTCTCTTCCCTTTTACTTCTACGGACATCAATCCTGCAAAAGATAATTTGAAATTTTAAGGCAGCTTTGGGACTGCAAGAGAGTGGAACATAAAGCTCACTTACCCGTCTGAATCTTGACCCTGTGTAGCTTAGATGTGAACTGATCATTCACTGTAAATATATGACCATTTTCTATTTCTTTTGATTTAGGCTCTTTTGTGAGAACACGTTGTGTTGGTTTTCCACATGCAAGGGACTGTAGGGCTCTAACCAGTTCTCTTTCAGGGATATCAGTTTCTTGTTGAATTTCCTAAAGGAAAATACCTTGATTAGCTCGTGGCTATGACAGAAGTATCATGTTTTGCAAACAACATCAGGGATTGCTTAAATGTCCACCTTCAAGCGTGCCAAATAATACTGTGACAGTTGTGGGGCTTGAAAGGTTAGAACTCATTCAGCAGCAAAGTCTCAGTGTGTACTGTGCAAAATGATCCACCTGCGTCAATGCAGAGACAGTGAATTTTGTCAAACGAAGAGTCACCATCGGCTGAAAGAAGAATAATGAATAACCAGCTGCTCCATTTCCCTGCGATTTTTGAGAAGGCTGGAAGGATTTGTTAACTGTTTCCAAGGTTTGCTGAACAGGGTGAAACCTTCTAACTAGTGATGGAAAACATCCATGATGTTTATGACAATTCCTGACCAAGAGCTGCATAAATGCTTTTGCATTCAGCCACACTGTTGAAAATAAAATCTCTACAAATTGAAGTAAACCATGTCTAGTTTCACCATAACATAGAAATACTCTTTCTACTCCTTCCTCAGACCCAACGTGTTCACTGAGCTCCCAATTCAGTACAAGTTAATTTTCACTTATCTCTTTCTTCCTTTTTCTAGCCTGAGGAAACTGCAGACACTTCTGATTTCACATTCCCATTCAGACTCTTGAGGGACTCCTAGCAGCTAAAGACTAAAGTACCCAAGAGAGAAAATAAACTTCCCAGACAGGCAGCTGTCCACAAGAGCTATCCCCATCTCAGCTCCACCAGCTTTGTTTCCAAGAGCAGTATCAAGCTCTTACCCTGCTGTCCTAATGAACTCCCAATTCTCATGGCATACAAGCCCAAGTGATGACCTCAGGTTAAAAGTAGCAGTAACAATTCTAAGTGCTCCAAATGCTAAGATCTGTAAAGAACTATAAAGAACTTGTTAAAAGTTCTTTAAACAGTGACCAGGAAAAAAGCAAACTAAGTTCAATCAAATAATGTTATTTCTTGGAAGTACTCAAGTTGTTTTTAAAATCAACTGAGGAAAAAAAAAATTCTGCTTTTCTGTTGTCATCCACCACTGAGAATATGCAATAAAAGTAATTTGGATGTGCTGGCCTTGACTAGGACTCTCCTTTTGGTGAGAGTGAATTAAAGAGTTAAAAGGGACCTTTTGAAGGGGTTTGATGCTGACCATCCTTACACAGACCGACTGTACATCTCTGTTGTTGTACTTCACTGTGTAGCATTTCAACTCAGCCACTAACACGCAAACCATTCGGGTTTCAGAATTTATAAGCCAGCATTAAAGTAAGAACCATGAAGAATTGCACTGCAATATGCTGCCTCAAAAGGAGCCAAAAAGTTGAAGTTGGATTAAAAAAAAAAAAAATGTAGCTATGAATATAAATGGGGATAACAGATGTTCCTGTGCTCTCTCTTTCCTTCAGCCTGTAGCATAACGTTTTTCTAAACATATTTTTAAACAGATATGTGATGTAACAGTGAAAAATGTATACTTGTTCCCCATTTCCAAAAATGACTTCTTTTAAAGGCCACATTAGATTTGTGCACAGGAGTAGTACTGATTACACAATCAGTGCTAAAAATATTACCAAGTGAGCTCTATCTGGAGGCTACCAAAGAAATCCCTCTCGGTATGGAACTGTCTCTGTCCAGTTCTACACAAGAAAAAAGGTTATTAGAAGGAAAATGTGCAGAAGGAAATCAGAAGGAAAAGTATTATGCAATTTTGTTGACAGAATAAAAAGTATTTTTAGTTTTATTTACAGACTTCAACTTGTATCTCTTCCAAAGCAGACATCAGCAAAAGAGGAAACACATAATCCAGTTTCAAATTCTAATCTCTGATTTTTGTGGAATTATTTCAACAACTTAACTTTTACTGCAGCCACATTTGTATATCTTGTTTGTTAAACCTAAAGAACCAACCTTATTTTTGATGTCGTTACAAAAAATGTGCATTTCACCATTTAAAATAACATGTTGTAACTTAAATAACAGATGAATATACTGAGTATTATAGGAGATATGATTAGAAAAAACTGAATTCCTTGAAATAATTAGCATCCTTTGAAGGCTTGCACGCAGATCCTCCCTTTTCCATATCAGTTTCATTAACCTAGACCCATAGGGCCACCAGCTGTTTTGCATATACAAGTAAAATGTTACTGTATAGGAATACAATAAATTCATACTTTTTTTTTGTGACGGAATTTTTCTATGCAATAACTTTTAAGTTTCCATATGATTTTATGCATAATTTTTGCATCATCATTATCCCATTTTCCTCTCAATCACATGCCTTAATGGCTGTTAGGATTACTGTGAAGATCTTATCAAGTTTGCAATTAATAATCACACTGAATGCAAAATAAACCATCAAAGTGTGTTCAACTGTGAAGGCAACTTCAAATTAATCTGTTCAGCTGTGAATCTGCAGAAGCACTTGTGTATCAGACACTTTTAGGCTTACACAAGCACACACCACAAGTCAGATCACACGCTGCATCGCAGTGAAAGCCCTAATTTGACATGACAGAGAAGTAATGGTTGCCCAGCAATCAGCAGTTAATCATGGTATTCAATTATCAATAAACAAAGATAAAATTCATTCTCTTCTTAAGTTTTCATAAGCTTTCCTGGCTGGAGTTAAAGACAACTCCCACACACTTCACCAAAGAAACCAAACCAAACAAATATGCCTCCTTAATGTTTTAGTTACAGTGGGACACAAAGTAAGAGCTTAAGAACTCCCAAACCAGAAATAAACAAAACATACACAACTTATAAGCAGGTGGACATACTTCTCTATCATCTGGTCTTAGTAAAATAAACTCTAACTTAGAGCATGTATTAAAAATTTTTCACTGCTCTACCAAGTATTCATCCATGGGTGAGGCTCTCCTACTCATAAAGCCTACAATTTGATGGTGTAAGGCAGCCTCCAGCTCAATTTCAAAACCAGCTTCTTGGAAAAAAAAAAAAGCTGTTAAGTCCCACTCCTTATTTTTGGCCCCTCATATATCCTGCAGAGAAAATACTCAAAGCTGTAATGCTCCTGAAGTAGATTTCACAACACACAGGACTTTGTGCTCTAAAATGATGGGTTTTTTAAAATTCTGAGTAGTTTCTTAAGAGCCTCTTATCAAATCCTGCCGTCCTTAACCCCAGCTGATACTATTTCAAAGAAACTTTCTTTATTAAGAGGCTAGAAGTATGCCAAATAAGCTGAAAACAAAATCCAAACAAAAGGCAAATGATCACTATGCATTGCACAGCCAAAAGTAGAGGAGAAAACCTGGAAATCCACTCTCTTTCAAACTGCACCCATGCTGATTTTCAAGGCCACCAGTGCTCTCTCAAAGGGAAGATAATGTCTGAAGTGAAACCCTTGACATTAGCAATACAATGCTCAGATGTTGTAGCACAGGATCCTCCTCCGCTCCTAAAGCCACCACCTTCATCACCTTCCATTAGCTGACACCTCAACCTTTACCAGCAACGCCCCCCTTTGGTCTCCTTGTTAAGAATCCATCTGGACCTTCTTCACTGTCCTTCCTGGCTAGCCAGCTCAGAGAGGGGCTGAAAGGCCTTTGAATCACACTACAGCTCACACCAGCCTGCCAGTTTGAGCACTCTGGCATTCAGGAAGCCAGGACACAAATCCTTCTCCACCCTTTCGCCGCTAAATCCAGTTTATTAAAGATAAAATGAGGAAATGGAGCCACCTGCTGCGTTCCAACTTCAGCTTTTCTACAGCTCCATGGCCTAGAAATAACCACACTCACAAAACTCAAACACTTCTGAAAAATTGTGTTCCCAAACAGGTGTACTGCTAACGATCTGCTTCCTGCATTTACTGGTTTGATCCACACTCAGAACAAGAGGCATCTGATCTTCGACAGTGTATTCCAGAGAACAAGAAGGTGCCTAAAACAGTCATTTAAAATGAGGTAAGTCAACCACAACACTTACCTCAAATGTGTATTTTTCTCTGTTGTTAAAGAGCATTAATATCGTCATCTGGAAAGTGGAGACTTGCAATATGTGCTTCCGTGTATTTGAGCCAGTTACTTGGGCACCTCCCACGCCGACTTCTGAGCCATCTTCCTATTTTAAAATTCCAAAGCTACTATTAGATTATTCTCCACTGAAAAAATATTTTTACCTTGATAAGATGGAAGTTACATGATGAAAAATTTATCCAGGAAGATCAGTCTACACAAGAAATGGAACAGCACGTGCCTGGGGGCATAAGCAGAATGTTCCTCCAGGAGCTGTCTTAGAACATCAGGGGGGATTGAGGTTGGAGCCACCTCTGTAGGTCCCTCCATCACTCCAAGCCAGGCCATCTAGAGCCCTCAGTCACATACTGAGCATTGCCAAGGACAGAGTCTCTACCACCTCTCTGGCCTCTGTTTCAGTACTTGCCCACCCTCTAAGTTTTCTTACTCTTATCTTTAAAATTATCAAAATATTTATCTTACAGTAACACAATTTTAACATTCTCACAATGTGCGTTATTAATACTTTGTTATAAGAGTTCTGTTTTTGTTTTGCACTGCCTTCTACATTGCCAAGCATCGTGCCACTGCTACCTCCAGCTTAGCACTTCAGAACTGGTATGAATCACTACAAAATTATTTTCTTGCATTCATACAAATTAAGCATTGTATTTCCATTAAACTCTGCTCACATTCTTGTTTTTGAAAAAATGTTGCCTACGCTGCTAGCACTCTGCATATGAAAAGCAGGCTAAACTTGGTTTAAGAAAAATAACTCTAAAAAGAAACAAGTTTCTTTTTACTTTTGAGTCATTTACAGTCAAAAACCTCCAAACACTCAAACCACTGAGGTCCCTTCAAGATCAAATTTACAACTTCTCTACAAGGTAAAAGATGATGTTGAGTGATGCATTCAAATGAGATTCAGAGGGGGAAAAGAAAAAGTCAACCCAAAACTGCTACAAAGGAAGAATTGGACTATAAGCCTGTCAGAAGGCATCTTTTCCTTATATTGTTAACGGGTAAGCTTTTATTTTACAAAATTCTGAAGTTACTAAAAATGTGCATTTGCTTACATAGATACAATATTAACACAATCTTGATACCTTACCTTTTTGACAGGCCCATAGAAAGTGGCATTGAGATCTGCAGAACCCATATGATGCTGGAGTGTCAGCTGTCGCCCACTATGTTTGGCTAAATAAAATCTGTAATAGAATGGAATAGAAAACAATATGTAGTTCACATGTGGTACTGAAAACTTTAAAAAGTCACACAGACTTTTCTGTGAAGTTAAATCTAGAAAGTTTCTTCTTAAAACCTCTACCTAAAAATCTGTTTTAACACATACCTTCTAAATATTTCAAAAGCATGTCTGGGAGCTGGAGGGATGTTACACTTTGGTGTGGCTGACTGGGTAGGCCAGTAACCTGTTGTGAGGACACGCACTGTAAGATCAACACCACCCAATGAGACCTAAGGACAGTTGGAAGAAAACATACACAATTTTAGAACCATGTTTCCTCATTTCTTTCTTTCTTTCTTGGCATAGAATTCTCATAGACTATGAAAGAATTAGACATATATCTAGAAATATTATTTTTAGGAAACCAGAAAAATAAATTAATTCATCACTATAAGAGTAGATGGTACTGCAAAAATCCTCCACATCATTCCCCTCTGGCAGCTAAAAGCACACAGAATTTAACGAAATAAATTCTTAAGCGACAACAAAATGTCTGTGATCATAAACAGAACTCATGATACATGTAACAAATCTCTCTGAATAGCTTTTGGATGACATGCAATAAAGCCAGGTTGCAAGAAACGTGGCAGTTTCAAAATAACTCTTTCTAAACTTACTCTGTGGAAGTAGAGGGTAAATCCTGAATAATCTGGTGTTAAATCACACCTCTGGACTGCAACACAAACAGTTACTCACTTCTACACACACCACCTATCCTCCTTCCCTAAAGACAGCCATTACTATAAATATTCAGCACTGGTGAGCAAACATTCCACAAGTGAAGTGCTTTATTTTACCTATAAAGTAGATGCATTAGCAGCTGATAAAGATCCAGCAGCTGATACCAGTGAGGCATAACCCTCAGTAGGTATCTCAATTAAGTGGAGCATTATTAAGCTTTAAACTGCCTATTTCCAGTTCTAGGGGGTATGACCAATATCTTCAAAGAACACACGTTAAGGACAAGAAAAACCAAAGCATACAATATCCAACTTATATAAACTTACTACGCAGAAACAGAGCACATTATATTTTAGAAGGTCAAAACCTGAACTCAGAAACTTCCACTATCCAACAGCAGAGTAGCATTTCCATGCACTGTGGAAGAGTTTTTGTACTGTGCATGTTGAATGCCTGTGTGCATCAACCACCCTGTACCCAGGAAACTCCTGAGAAACCTAAACCAACAGGTTTAGGCTACTCCTACAGGAACCCCTTGGACTGAAAGGAACAATCTGCAGAACTACATACAGATCCAGATAAGGGCTCTTCTGTAGCCAACATTACTGCCATCCTTCTAATTTCATATCAACAATATTAGAAGGCTCACAGAAGTTCAAACAGCCCTTTAGACACAGAAAACTGGTTAATTTGTCAATTACCTAATTAAAAAAAAAACCAAAACAAGGAGCCTCAACAGTTTTCCTCTAGGCAAAGCACAGGGAAAGGCCATCAGTGCAGACACGATACAGAAAATATATTTATCTGGAACCGAAGCATCTTAGCTGAGATGGCAACTCTTTCCCAAATTCTTTTGGCCTCAGCCAGACCGGAATACAGCAATAAATTAGAATGCCTCACATCATACATTGTACAGAGCACTGAAAAACTTCTGGAAGCACTTTATTTTACAACGTGTCTTTTCAGCATAAAAATGGTACGAACTAGTGGAAAGTGCCCTGAAGGGATCTAATCTTTACAGGATTACAAATGTTTCAGGATCACAGTTATAGAAATTACTACTTATAGTCTAAGAGCCTGGGCCTTCCCTAATGCTGAGCTTTCCACTTACTGATAGCAAACCAATCATCCACACAGACCTTGGCATTACCTGTACCTCAGGAATTAGGATCCAGCAGGAAACTTTGCAGGTAGGATTATTTAGAGAAAAGCAGCTGCCTGACTCCTCTAGGAGACACCATACACATTCAAGGTACACAAATTGTTTAAAAAGGAGTAGAATGCATATTTATATTTATTTATATTGCATATAAAAGTGTCAACAGCAAGTTAACAGTAACATAACCCCTCCCCCAATCTTCCTGTTTGTATTTCCTCTCAAATATTATTGACATGCAAAGAAATATATATGCTTCTTCCATAAATAAGTACTCCCAAAATTTCATTAAGAGGCCATGATTAGGCTGACCAAAAGGCAACCATCACATCAACTCCTGGTCTCTTGCCAAGAAAAAGATGAATTTTCAAGTAAGGCCTAGCAGGACATCTGTTAATATTTTAAATTCATCTTATTAGCTGTATGTAGCTAAAAAGAAGAGAGAGATATCATTTATTAACTCACTTAATCTAAGACTGTCACGTAGAGTACACAAATCTTGAACACAACCCCCGCCCCATGTCCAAGTCTGGCACGCTACCTAAAAAATTGAAATTTTTCTTCAAATTTGTATTTCAAGCATTCTAGAAGGAAAACATGACTCGCCTCTAAAGAAAATTAAAAAAAGCAGTAGTAAGACAGCCTGTCCACAAACACTTTTATAACTATCCAAATCCTCTGCAACCTTTTCTGAAGCCACTTGAGAACATGCTGTTCCCTCACTCAGGATGATTCACAGTATGCTGATGAGGAAGATTTCCACCGAGGGCTTCAAGAAGGCAGAGATTTCATATCACCTTGCACAGCCAGGGACATTGGACAGAATACAGCCACAACCATATTCCTGGCATTCACTTCTGAAACTGATTCAAGCCTGCTTGATGTACAGACCTACTTACCTGCAGACAAGGCTGTTTATTATATATATATATTATTAAGCTCTACTGCATATCAGTAAAAAAAAAAGTGTTTTAGAGTAAGTGAACTGATATCCCAGTAGAAGTGATCTCTCCTTCATGCAATATTCCAGAGGCCCAATTTACTACAAGGTGAATTTTTTTTCTGAACAAACAACTAAGTCCATATTTGCAACCTGAATAAAGGGGCAGCTTTGCTTTTAGCAAAGGCATTCACTGCATCAGGAAAGTTAAACCTCAGTCGGCGTGCTTTGCAAACACCGTCAGCACGCGATAGTTGTCTTGCCATTAAAAAAAAACAACACAGGGCACAGTGGAGATTAGCTTTGCAGAGTGAGAACGGGAAGGCTTTGCTGGTGACACAGCACCTGGGGGTGGACAGTTGGCCCTGGGGGGGTGGGCGCTGCTGGGCAGGGCGGGCACATCTGGGCGGGCACATCTGGGCGGGCACATCCGGGCAGAGGCGGCGGCCGCGCTCCCCCTGGCGGCCGCCGCAGGGCAGAGCAGCCGAGCCTGCACCCACTGCCCGGCGCCCCTGGGACAGCAGGAGCTCCAACAGGGCTTTATGGAATGCAACTGGCACTACCCGAGCTGTGGATCAAGCTTTGAACCGGCTTTAGCTCGACAGAAGTCCAGGGTTTGTACTGGAGTAAAAGGACAAACGCACAGACCCCCATGCTCTTACCCCTGTCGCCTGAAGATGTTGCCTGAACTCATCCATCGTCGTATTTGAGATGCTCATGTCCCTGAACATTCCTTCCAGTTTAGATGTGAACTGACATCCACATTCAGTCTGAAAATACACACAATAACTTGTTGTACCAGCACTATGAAAACAAAGCTTCTGATATGCAAACTGCAAGACCAAGTTTATAAATCTCAAAAATCGTATTTCTGTACATTTGGTTACTGGGATTTCCATTTGCATTACATTCAGATCTTTTAGAAAAGTTTTGTATCTTATATAAGGACCTAACATTACACAGATCAAAACCTGTTTTCCTTCTCTTTTATACATTATGGTATTTTTTATTTCATTTTCACTTTCCATCTCTTTTTTAAAAATCTGTAAAAGTTTATCAAATTAAGATAACACACTTCCACCTGGGGTTTTTTGGCATTATACTGTAAAGGGAAATGAACTTTATTTATATCAGAAGCAAACTCCTGCTATTCTAGGAGTGTTTAGTTTTAAAGGCTGGCTGCAGATCACCCAGTGAGATTACCAGGTCTTTCGAGGATCAGGGACATGCACACAGACACACGAGCACGAGCACATGCGTTTCAGGGGCACACGCAGGACCATGAGCCCATTTCTGATACATATTGTGATACATAAGGCAAAGGAAAGCATGTCAGCTTCAGCATCCTGATCACTCCGCAATTCCATAAGAAAACAGGGCAGTTCAGGTCCACTGGCTCATCTGCCAAATGTATGCCCTGCGCCCTCTAAATCACCAGGATAAAAGTGGTGGAGAGGTAATCGGGAAGGAATTAATACTGACAATTCAGAGAAACCTGATGCAAACAGACTTTGCTCGCTGATAAAATACGAATGTGAAAAACAAGGATCAGAGATTTTTCATTTTAGGATCAAATCCCTCTGGTTCAGAAGTTCTCTAGCCATTTTATCGTGCAACTTAAGAAGCAGCTGCATTAGAACTCGCTTTAAGGACTGTTCAACTTGAGGTTTTACCTTCTTCTCCATCTCTTGGCCTATTTAAACAGTACATTTAACCAACTAAGGAAAATGTGTTTCCAGAGACTGATATGAACATTTTTTTTCCTCCATCTGTTTCAAAATACTTAATCAAAGAGGAATTGAGCATTAACACCACTCTGCTGATGGAGGCAACTAAAAAACAACAACATAAGCAGCAACAAAATTCTACTGTGAATAACAAAAAAAAAAAATCTAGCATAAAACATAGCCTTATCTTCAAATTCAATCACTGGAGTTGTCCTCTTATTTGAAAAGTCTTAACAAGTTTTGAAAAAAATTATTTTGTTTTCGAGATTGCAATCTCATCACAGGTGTTCTCCACTACTTACTTCCTTTTATTTCCACAAAATTAGTCAGAAAAGCCTTTTGTGTTTTCTGCTGGGGCTTTAAAAATCAACTCTGCATCTAATAGCAATCAAGATTAACGTTACCTATAAACCTCTTATAAAACCAGAAGAAACCATATCTATGACTAATAAAAAAGAAAGAGGAAAAAACTCTAAAAATTATGCAGGTACTGTCTTACCTTTAATTTGGATATCATATTTTTCTCAGAGTCATCTGAAACACTCTTGTTTGTGAGAAGCCTTCTTGCCAAGTGCTGCTTGTAGTAGCGTTCAAAAACATCTTTCTCTTGCATAAACCTGAATAAAACCATTGCCTTATCCAATATAGTTTCTACTTCTTGCTCTGTTAGCTGCAAAACAAATAATTTGCTGGTTTTAATCTTCCAGCACAAGTGTCTTACACAACCCAAACACTTACAGTAATTCACAGCAGCAGATGGTCTAACAGTAGCCTACACAGAAGCCAACAAAACTGGTCCAGCATGAGATCGACAGCCAAAAGAACGGTGCCCAAACTCAAGAAAGTGAAGTAAGAAATAGACTTAAAGGGAAACAATAAATGGGTAGAATGCCCTGATAAACATAGTAAAAGTTCCTGGGTAAGTTTTAAAAAGCATCAGAGGAAATCACTATTAGGAGTATGAAAGGTTAGCTTGGAATGAAACCTTTTAGCTATAAAGTTAAACCTTTTAACTATTAACTGTTTTGTAAAGCCCACCTAGTGCCAGAACAAATAAAATTATTACTTATTTTATAAATGAATAGAATTTACCATTTGATTCCCAAAGCATAAATTGCATGCACTAATATTCAGCTTTATTCAGAGCCACTGAAGCCTCAGAGGAACCACCCTGTTCAGTTCTGGGTTCTGTACCTCAAAAAATCTCATGAAAGAAGCTAAGTCTGAAGGACACAGTTGTACTTAAACTAGAAGAGACAGATAATAGTCCTCTGATATATAAAAATAGTAAAAAGAAGCAAAGATAAACCGTTTCCCCATACCAAGTAAGTTAATTTGCAAAAGAAATTACTAGATATTGAGAACAGCTGCCAAAATATCAATATATTTAAGAAAAGATATTTAAGGTTTCAAAAGAAGGGAGCTGCAGAATCTACTACAACCTAGAAATGGTTTTTAAGGGAGTATCTGCCAGAAGTAATTCATGTATGCTGCTTCAGAGGTAGGTGACAAGCCATACAGATCTCCTCGTGTCTGATTTTTCTGTTCAGATCTAAAGTGTTATGAGCTCGGATGTTTTACATATCCTTTTTTTGAGCTAGTATTGCCCTTCCTCTTAATATAAAAATAATTCATAGAAATGCAGCTTAGTTTAATTTCATCCAAGCTTGCACAGCAAAGGGCGTGGTATAATAAGTTCATTTATACTTACTCCCTTGACTCCCTTTTTCAGCTTATCGTCAATAAATAATGAGAGGTACTCTGGAGACCTGGAGTTGAGGTTGAGGAAGTACTCAAAGTCACCCGCAATAGTCTGTTTGAAGAGTCGATCGTTATTGAAAGATTCTTGAAGAAAGCGATCAAACCTACTCTTCAAGTCCAGCAAACCCTTAAAAAGAAAAAAGAAAAACCAATTTCACTGATGCGAAGCTGTAAGCTGGAAAACAGTAACAACAGGTAGAGAAGACCAGATCTACAGGCAGAGATTCTGCAACGTTTGGTACATTAGAAACTATCTGAAATTTCATTTTAATTTTTAAATTTCTGTTGCTGCCATAGAAATCTTAGAGAGGCAATTTTCAGATAAATCCTGGTGCAGTTTGCTATAACACACTTCTCAAAGTAAGAAAGGTTTTTAAACACCAGGTTGGTGTTTTAAACACCAGCAGGTTGACGCACTGCATTTTTAAATCTAAAACTTAAGGGAGGTATTTGTTGCACTTGTTAAGTCTTGTCTACTTCAAGCAACATTGACAAAGTAACTACCATAAACACAGGATATGTGAAAAGTGAGGCTAAGCACCCATCAACTGCATCCCTAGAGCTACTGAACAAGTTTGAGGAGAAAACACACTGCAATAACAGGCCTAATCTTGGCCAGGGACATGTTCTGCATTATTTAGTTGCGTGTTTCTTGCTGACCTTTAAGAGTCACTGTGAGCATATGAAAGGTAGATATAAGCAATAGCTCTCCAGTTATCACAGTGTGAAGTTCACAGGCCCAAACTGAACAACTGAGCTAAACCACTGCACTCTTAACATCATTTTTTGAGTTTGCACCGTCTTCACCCAGAGTTAAAGCAACAGTGTAGAAGGGGGAAGCATCTTACAATCAACCTGAGCACCTTGCTAAGTATATATGACACACACAGGGTTTAGACATAACTAAGACAGCATTTGGCAGGGAGAGAAAATTTCACTTGAGATTTAGATTTATCACGAATAACAGCTGCCCACAAAAACTGTCCATGTTAAATGGCATTAAAGTTTCTCAGTTTCTTTAGAAATTATTCATATGCGGTTACTTAAAGAAGCCATTCAAGAATTACTCAAAGAAGTAGTAACGTTTCTTAGGAACTCACCATCTCACTTAAAGGAATGGTCTTTAGACAGGCTAATTAATCTGTATTAGAAATTTTAAATTCAAAGTAAATCCCACTATCTCTCTGTTTACCAAGGTTAGCTTATGTCTCCTCTCCAGGAGTACACCATCTGAACAACCTGGTGTCAAACAGGAGAAACTGTTAGTACCTTAAATTAAAACAGCATTTCAGCATCCCTCCAAACTATTATACAAACTTTAAACCTAATCATCTGGCAATGCTTTCGCAACCATCTCGCCAATTCTGCTCAGGGTTTAGTGATGTCATGCTGCACAAGCAGTGCTGAGCTATGAAGAATGTGTTTTTCTTGATGGTGTAATGCAGCTTCCATGTCTGTCTTCTCGTTGCTCATGTCTTTGAAAAATTCAGATGAACATGGCCCAGATGAGAAGTACAAGGTGGTCTCCCAATTCAAAGCCATTCCTCTCTTCTTCCATCACTTGAGTGGAAGTGATAAACCTGTTTGTGGATTTTTCAGCAATCGAATATCAAGCTCTTCCCTAGGACACCTTCCTGAGATGGCTGGGGTACATACCAAGTGCTGAGCTCTGCCAAAGCATGTGGGACACAGCTGCAAGTCCTCCTCAGCTTCATTATGTTGTTTGTCTTTGTAGCAGGAAACCTTGATACCATCTTTATAATTAAGTTTATAAATCTTTCTCTGTTAAATTTTTTATGATACCTCCTTAGGCCCATCAGGAGTGAAAGCTACTTCAAAGTACTTATTTTCCACACCATTTGATCCCCCCTTCCTCTTTTTTAAATCATACCACCACAAACATAACAGCCCTTAATCATTTATCCAAATAAATTTCAAAGGGCATTCTCTCTGCTTTTTAACTCTGCTAAGAGGTGATTCTCGTTCAAACCTGGTAAGAAGTTTGCTTCAGCATTGCCAGAAAATTATTAATCCAATCAAAAACGTTTTTATACTCAAATGGCTTCTTCAAATAGTAACCAGTTCTAGCACAGTTATTGTTTTCAAACAAAACAGCAGAGATTAACAGAACGTACATTGAATGTTTCTCATAAAGAACAGACACAAGGACTTCAACTAGACATTTTGAAAAAACCTCAGACTTAAGGTTTAATGAATATACATGTTCAGATTAAATATAAGACATCTTCTACCTACAGAAACACATCCTTAGAGTTCAATGAACTCTTAAGATTTTATGTGCAAATTTAAAACCATCTTCCCAGAAACAATGGAAAAGATGACAAATACTCCTGTAGCATATTCTGTGATCTTGATAAATGAATGGTACACATCACTTAGTGAGAGACGGAGAACAAGAAAGAACACTCACATCTTTTAACATGCAGAAGTGTTCTGTTTCTCAGGGAGACTGAGAAGGAAGCAAGTAATTTGTTACGATTGATAAACACATTCAATCACAGCTAATCTTGCCATGAAATATTGCCATGTGATTTTTGTCTCAACAAACACTGATAGCTAGTGTTACATAAAATTAATCAAAATGGACACTATAAAGCTACTTGCCAGCAGACATACAACTCACTCTGGAGACATATCATTTATGAAGGTCCCAACAGTTAGATAATTAGCCTGAATATGTTGTTTAATATAAACAGCTACCAAAAGCACAAAAACTGAGCATGCACTTTCCAAGCAACTTCAGCCAGACTTCTAAACATGTCTGAAAATTCAAGAGAATGTACATTTAAAAAAAACCCCACTAAGTTTAGCTTATTAATAACAATTGATATTAAGGTTTACCTTAGAAATCGTGTTTGTAGTGAACTGTTACTGTGAGGAATGGGGGAAAGGTGAAAGAAAAGAAAATTAAAGTATTTAACTACCTGAATATAGTCAACTGGATTCTTTCCTTCTCCTTCTTCAGAAACTAGTGCTTTGCCTTGCTCTCTCAGGTATGAGCTCATGCACTCGCACATCGTCTTCAGACCATTTGGCACACGGCTGAACAACTTGTACATGCAAGCAAGGTCTGGAATCAAGAATGAGACATTATGCAGGACACCCCTGTGTGTTACATGTCTGTAACTCATTTATATCTCAGATGACAACAAGAGATTTGCCTAAAATAATGACAAGTGGCTTAGGCTAAACGTGGCTTTCCAAAAGAGCAATCCCTCCTTGTGAATTTATGCAAAATCTTATCATAATGCAGCAAGTATTTCCACTCTACTATTTAACTCTATCAAACCAAGGCCTATAAAAGTTAAACTAAGTCTTGTACCTTATGAACACCCTTCAATATCCTTGCACCCTCAGCCTGAAGGCTATCTAAGCTGGATATTAAAGAGAAAGAATGTTAAGTATCAACACTTTCCTTTTCAGTACAGTAACTGTCTTTTCTTACAGATGGGAAATGTGCTCACTCTCTTGCTCTGACTATCACCCAGTAATTGTGAAGCTGCTTTAATGAACAAAGGCCATTAATCTAAGCAGCAAGTCTGTTCCCCATTCTCATGGCTTTAGTGTGAGCACCAATTTCTAAATATAGATACTACAATCCTTCTCTTCATTATGCTGCTTTAGAAACTTATGTTCTATTTCTTTCCATAGTAACTTTCATTCAGTCACTCTGTCCCACATTAACCTCTATCAGGGAAAACCAAATCAAGCCAAGCCCTTTTTTTTCAACCAGTTCAATAAGCTGCTTCTTATCCTTCAAAAAAACAGCCAACTCCTTCCTGCAACAATGTTCTCTCCCCAAGAATTGGTCCTGCAATGCTTCTGTTTGTCTTTTACACAAGTACTTTTTAGAATAACTGCCTGTGGGCCAAAAAAAAATGCATGTATTTTGACAGCTATATACTAGAGGAATGGAAGTAATAAAATGGCTCACGGAAAACTGGTAACAAAGACCACTGCAACAGATTTGTACTTTTTTATGAGATACTTGGTTTAACCTAAAAAAAAGTACCTGTGGCTAGTACTAAACAGAATCAAGTTAAGCATACAGGATCTGTTTTAAGAGCCCTCTAAAAGGTTGAAGTAACATTTTCAGGTGTTTGCAGAACAGAGCCACCAAAGTGTTGTCACAATTACACAGGAACACAAATCATTAAGCTTGACTTATCCCATGTTTAAAAACAATAAGCAGTATCATCAACATTTCTGCCTCCCAACGTGACCCAGTCTTACCTTCTGTCTTCCCATTTTTCAGCATATGAACTAGCCCAGAGTTCTCCATTTCCACTATAGTTTTCATGTGCTTGGAAATAAGCTCCCTCTCAACAACTTTCACAATAGGTTCTTCTGTTGATTTATCCAGACAATGCATCACCCGTTCTATTTCTTCATTAATTCTAGCTTCTACTTTCTTTATATATACAGAAGCACTGTTTTCAGCTAAAAATTTTTGACTTTCCATCTGTGATTAACACAAATTAATACTTTTAGACTTTTTTTTTTTTTTAAAGGGGAAAAAGAAAATATACTAGTTATGTCAGATCAGCATTTATAAGCAAGTTCAAATCAAACACAGCATGTCCAACACATTATACACCCAAGATTTACATACACACTTAACACAAAATGAAGGTTCTATTATGCTAAATGTGTTACATAAGGGGGTACATGCAATATTAACAAGGTCTATATTTTTTATACTAAGCCAGCCTAGTTTTCAGTTACCAACCAGAGTTTTAGCCACAGGTCCAAAGAAAACAGAATGATGGGGAGAGAGAAGAGGCAAAAGTTCCTTTCAAATACCAGTTTATGTCAGTTGTCATCATTCTCATTAGTGACAACGCTGAGCACATTATTTCATGTCAAACTGTTCTTATCCATACTAGTCAGCATAGTCTTTTGGTGAAAAGATGTTTTATTTTTTTTTTATTTTTAAGGCAAAGCTAAGAAATGGAACTTAATTGAAAGTATTTATTTTTCTTAAATTTATGTAGCCACCAAAGAAAACCAGTACACAACGACATCTAAATGGTTGTACAACATATGCTTCAGCTTTTCAAAAAAGTTTGGAGAGCAGAGCATACAACAGTCAGTCAGTTGATCCTGCTTAAGAACTGGGAGACTGACAAATGACCTTATCTAGATTTCTTTTAACATGCTCTTAAAATTTCTAACAATTTCCAGCAAGATGAACACGATTACACTCAAAAAGCATACAACTGGTTTTCCTCCTCAAAGTATCTCACAAAAAACCCACAGGGAATATTTAAAATGTGTTATTTGGTGGCTGATCTACAACTGGAGAGCCATGTGGTTACGCTTAATTCCTTGACTCAGTTCATTTTATTACAAAAAAATAGCTCACAAACGTAGATACTATGAAGAAAAAGCTTCCTTCAAGGCAGTTTGACAGGTTTCCCAGCCTGAAAAAGTTCGAACCTTTCATGCTACTGGTATTTCAAAAAGACTGTGGGGGCAATGCAGGGGTAGACTCAGTTGCATGAAAAAGCCTAAAGCAGCAGGCACAAGATTAGCACAATGGTTACTTTACATGTTATTGGCACCCACAGCTCAAAATTACATTCAAATTATGTTAATTCTGTAATATCTGTGTTACTTTTCCCCCACAAAGTTAGCCCTCACTTTTCTTATTTCACTTAATGGATATGGAGATACTCATCAAATAAGCAACAAGTATCTAAAGCACCACCAAATCTCACAATTCCAGGGAGTTACAGCATTCCAAACATGATAATAGAACACTGGCATACCTGAAAAAATTCTGCAGACATCTCCAAAAATGGAGCCTCGAAGTCTTCTTCATAGACTGACCTTCCTTCAAGACCTAGAATCATTAACATCTGGCAAGCATTTCTTATTGCGCCTCTGCCAAAAAGTAAGTTGTTAACAACTTGAGAAATCTACATGTTTGTAAGACAGAGTACATAGCAGAATAACAACTTGTAATGTGATATTAAATAAAATATAGCAATAGAAAGTCCATTCTAAATCTGTTTGATACATCACACATTTTCAAGAACATTATACCAGCAAGATTGTTTGGTTTTGTTCAAAATTAAAGAGCTGATAACGTTTGTTAAATATTTTAAATGCAGTGATAAAGAAGCAGGTCTCGAGGTCTACTAGCTTTTAAGACTATGAAGAATATATTTCAACATACAAGAAAATAAACCAAAATACTACTTCAAAGAAAACTGCACATGTAGGTCAGAATTGAGCAATTCAAAATAATTGCGCACATGGAATTTGCTGTGCAAAGTTTAAGTATTTTTTGTTGGGTGGCTGTTTAAAAAAGACAAACAACAAAAACACCCCCCCCCAATCAAACCCAAAATAAACCGCAGCAAAATAAAAATGTATCAGCAAGTTAATGAAAACAAAAGAACTGCATCTAGAAAAAAAATTCCACTTTCTGGCAGTAGGGGACAATGCACAGCTGTAGCCAGGGAGTATTCTCCTCTTCATAAATTGCATGTTGGGCAATCTCAGTCATAGAACTGCAGCCAAAGTAGCAAGGATTTTACATATCCCCACACCCAACAGCTGTTCTGAAACTGGAGAAGCACAAGAAAACTTGTGAATTTGAAGTGCCTTCAGCTGCACTATCTGCAGTGTGTGGCACAAAAATCCACATATCTAAACTGGCCAGAGAAGCTGTGAAACAGATTTAAAAGCTTAGAGATGCAACTCATACCAAGAAACAAATGGTATCAAAAGGAAAAGGAATTGGAATGAAAAGAGGAAATGTAATAAATAAATAAATAAATAGGTACAAAAAAATTAAACAACCTCTCAATACGGAGAAAACACACAATAGCAAGAGGCAGAGAATTGTCAAAACTTTGCTGTATAACCAAATGCTCTGGCACGTTGTGGTTATGGAGACATTTAACAAAAGTTTTAATAAAAAATAATGATAAATATTAAAAAAAAATATATATATTAACAAGCTTCCCCATTTACCACTATGCTAAAACTTAATGTAAGAGAAATATTTCAGATTTTGGAGAAATCTGAGTTGTGCAGCCTTAAGTAATGAATTGTTTGTGCACGTTCTTAAGTCACTGATTATTTATAACTAAAGACAGTCACTTACAAACATCTTACCTGTCTACAACTTCTCCTTTCCTTTCTCTCGCAATCATATCCAGCAGAGTTTGTCGCAGGTGATCCCTAATGCAGCCATAGCGAACTACTTGATCTCGAAAAATAATCAAGCCCAAATTGTAGACATTCTCCACATTGTTTTGTTGCACATACACACGGTCCTACAGAGGCACACACAGCAATAAAATGGTAAATTCAGTGCATCTGTGCTGTTCAGAAATAAAAGAGATTGATAATTTTTTTTTCTACAAAGAAAGGCACTGTATAGAAATAACAAATACTCTCAAATTTTAAAATCAGGCCCATTTTCCAAAACTTCATTTACACTGGAAATCTACTGCTAAAGCACAGCAGAACAAATCTACAGCCTTGCAACTTTTAGTCTGGGTGCAGAGGAATCTCCAACTATTGAAAAAATTCATGGCACATTCTGAAACACGTTTTACTTACCTACTCAAACCCCTTCCATCCACCCCTTTCTGATCTTAATTCATTTTCCTAAAATTTTTCCCCACCTCCCCATGCATCTTCCTACCACTCCTTCTAGGCAAACGAAATGCAATATTCAGTGACATTTCCTGAAAGAGCATCATTAGATGAACAGAAGAAAAAGTAAAGCCAAAATGAGAAGAGTTGCAATCACAGTCTTTATGGATTGGTATTGCAAAAACGTAGAGAAGGATTTCTGTTGACAACCCTCCCTCCCGTGAAGAAAAATTCCCTTTCATTCAACTTGAGGAAATGTTATGTTTCATTAAAATTGCACATATACACAAACAGTCAAAAAAGAAAAGAATATTTTTTGTTTCAATATGGGTTTAAATTCCATCTCCCTACATAATCTCAGTCTATAGGAAGGATTAAATTCCTCAACTTTCTCTTCATCCACCTACATTTACAAACTGACACTGATCCTCAGGTCATTCCAAGACCCCATAGCCCAAAATCTATTATACAGAGTTGAGTGAGACACTATAGAGCAGATCCCGAGTTTCTTACTGCTACCCACAGAAGTGCTCCAGAAATTTGTCTCCCCTTTCCTGTTCCTCTCTCCCAACTCATCAACTCTCTAGAAAAGGAAGGTTATTAATAAAGTTACTAGACAGAAAATGCATATATTTGCTTAATAGCCACTAGTGCTGTACCAGGTAAGACCCTTTAAAACAACATTAAGAGTAGAAAAATAGTGAGTTTTTACAACTTTTTTCTGAGATAAGCAATAATTATTTTTCTTCATTTCTGTTAGGGCATAATCCATTCCTCTAAAATCATACTAATCATAGCTTGAGTAATTACTAAAAATATTGCTTTGCTACCATTTAAGCATCAGGACAACGATATTAGAAAAAGTTAAAGAGTTGTATCCACTTATAAATCTGATTGGGATAAGATTTTCTACGAATGTACATAGCTATAACAAAATAATAATAAAAAAAATCGAATTCTATAAAGGATGAAGGTCAGTGTCTGAGTATAAAGATCAGCTTCTCCACTGGTTCCATCAACCATCTTAAGAGCTTTATCACACTCAGTATTGAAGAGTAAAGCTACTCAAACATCTTGAAAATGAAACCATTAAAATAAAAATGTTCCGCTTCAGACTATGAAAAAAAGATTACAAAACCGCAAATTTATATGAATTCCACAATTACAAAAAATCAGAAGGAAAAGACAGCACACAATTTAGTAGCTGAATTTACAAGTTTTCATATACTAATTATGTGCCAGACTGCCACTTGCTGACCACAGGAAAGCAAAGCACTGGGTTCTGCTATTAATGCCTGACTTCCCACCCTCTCCCTTCAGACAGGCAGCACTTCATTTAAAGGAAAAAACAAGATGGGAACAGGTCAGATATGCCTTCTGTGTGGCTCATGAAGGGAGCTCAGTTCTCCCCCAAAGCAAAATGTTTACTAGTTGGCCTCATGAAGTTAGTTTAGTGATACACGGTGGTCTACGTCTTTGGAATATGTTATTTCATTTTTCCTTATTTACAAACAGGGTTGTTTATTTCACTTCCTTATTTACACACTTGCATCGAGAACAGAAGTAAATGGGATTCTCAAGTATGACAAGCTTAAAATATATTTTCAAAGAGATGAAAGAGCAAATTAAAAAGTAGCATCTAATATAGTATGTGACTTGAGGAGAAAAGAATATATTTCTCATTCCCAAAAAATATTCAGGTCTCTAGAGCACAGGCAGCAGGGTATCTAAAAGGATTAAAGCCATGACTCATCTGCATAGCTTCTGTTGTGGCAGTGCTAAACAGAGCCATCATAAAATAGTAACTGCACTAGAAACTCCTCTCAGTGTATCAGCACGCCTCTGGAGTAAGCCAGACCACTCTACAACACCAAATCAGAGCAGCAGCATTAACGTTTCTCATACTGCTGATTTGCTCTCCCTTGGTAACAGATCACTTCTGCTGTTTACGGGAAGCTCTCCCAGTCCAAAAAAAAGTAATCATGGAGAGAAAGCCCCAGTGGGGAACAGGTTTGACTGATGAGGCTACACACTACTGCACAGCAATCACATCCCACAGGGGGAAGCAGCGGGTTATTAAAGGTAGGAGTAACTTTCAGAAGACAAGGGTGGAGTTTCTGACAGCAATTATTCATAAACTACAGCCCCCCTTATACTGCAGAATAATTCTGATCTGAACTAAAGTTACCTACTGTAAAACATCACCAGGCACGTTTTGCCCATCTCTGCACAGATGCACGACCTGGAAGGTGCAACCTTCAGGCACCCTTGAGGATGTATATATAGTAATTGTCTTTGATTCTAGTTCTGGACATAAAAACAACACTTTCTCCCTTTTACCTTGTGTGTAAGGTATGGACAGTGAGAGTCACATGCCCTGAGTTCAAAACTCATGTATCTAATCTGTCAGTGCTGGCCTAAAAAAAACACAACAAAACACCATCTTTGTGCATCACTTCACTACTTCAGCAAGTCCATGACCTGACTTAGCAAAGACGCTACTCAGAACATGACTTCACTGCTTCGGTGCCTCACTGCAGACAGTGCCAAGGAAGTTATGGAGAGTATTACATCTACTCTGGCACTGATTACTGTAGCCTAAACATGCAAAGCAAAAGGAAGAGAGCTAGTGCTGTATCCTACAGCATTCACTGGAACTGTGGAAACTTGAAATTCAATCGTGGAAACTGGAATGTCTCAATAAAGTCACGACCGATCTTTACAATGCAAAAGGTTACAAAACATCACACTACACCTGCAACAGACCTGAAACCAACAGACTTTCACCAGAGAGTATCACAACAGACAAGGTAATTTAGTGCTTGTGGAAGAGGTTCTGCATGTAGAATGAAATCCTACCATAAACCTCTAACAGCAAGTATAATGCAGAAACCCCAGTGTGCAAAAGTCATGCCTTTCTACAAGAAAGATCTATTTGAATTTATTTTTATTTCAAAAGTAGCAAAGTTAAATAGAAGAGAGAGATTAGGGTGCGTTGGAGAGGTGTTTGTTTTGACTTAAATCATATGACAGCCAGTGGCTGAAACAAAGCTGGAAAACAAATGTGGCATTAAAACAGACAGAGTTTAGTTCAAGATGTACAATCACTAGGCTGAAGTAAGAATTTAAGAGAGTAAGACCAGAATTCAAGAGGATGTTAAATGTTTTACTTTCACTGATGTCACAAGGTCTGTTGGGCAATAGGTACATTTCCTGAAACTGATGGGTAATTGAGATGGCCTACAAAATAAGAGAAGGGTTGGGTTATGCTTTACTTACAAACGTATGATAATTGCGTATACTTCTCCTGGTAGAACACAAGCACATCAATTAACAATGCCTGGTTTTCTTGGCTAAAATATTTTTCATGTCAGTTATAGTAGCTCTGCTTGAATAAAAACTATAAACAGTTTCTGACATAAGCATATCACTATAATCCTATATGTCACTCAGACTCAACATGATAAAAGAACAAATCATTCTTTATTTTATAAAGTTCTTGAAAAGTGTTCCTTTGAAGAGCAGTCAGGTCTCGTCTTTTACAGTTGTTCTGTCGCTATGTGATTTTGCGGCACTAGCTGCCACAAAACTAACTTCCAAAATTCCCAACTTTTGGAATAAACACATACTCAAGACTGGAATTTTCCTACTCTTAAGTCTCTTTTGAATAAAGAGAATTGTGTTGGGCTCAAGATGACATCTGTGTGACAAAGATGAAACTGCAAATCTTTGAAAATAACCCTATTTTAAACTACGGCTTATACTTTAATTCATAATCAAAGCATGTATTTTCTATTGACAATTTGTCTTATGTCCCTCCAAGTCAAAGAAAAGAAGGGACTCTGCCCACTGCATCAGCTCCTTGCATTAGACAGCTCTATTATAACCCCATGTTACGTTAGAGAGGTTTAACAAACAGACATCAGCGCTCCTAAAGTTTGACAAGTCTATATAATCATTTTGGAAGAAAATTTTGTTGCATTTTTACTATTATACTAGAAATATATTTTATTTTAGATGTGTTTTTTCTGTTTCTCTGGGTCTTACTTTGGCACAAGGAAAAAAAAAATCAGTGGAAGGCAAATAATAAGTCAAGCAGAGGGCTCAACTGAACACCCACTTGAAATAATTAGGAACTGTCAAGCAGCAAATGGAAGGCTATATAATCCAAGGTATGCAAGTTTATTTATTATTCTGTTCTGGATCTAAAAGATAACCCATGAAGTTCAATTTGCACTCATAGGAATGCTGCAGAATTCCATCCCCCGAAATTTTGGTGGAAAAGAAAAGGCTGTCTGGATGTTTGAACAGGGCTCACAAGCTTTAAACCAAAGTCGAGGCACTGCTCTCTGAGTGCAAAAAGTACTTGGTAAACTCCTAAACTTGGTAAACAGCTCTCCTTTTCCCCCACAAGTGGTAACTGCAGTATGTATCCCTTCCTCAAAGAGATAACCCTTTGGTCCTTAATATACTGGTCAGCACACTGAAAGAGGAAAAGCTGATAAGCCAATTTTCTCTGCCACTGTTTGAAGGATCAAAAATTTATTGATTTTAAGAGTAGGAGATAACATTGCATTACCCATTACCTTGGAGTATTCAGCACTTTCTGTACTGAAACGATATACAATGTTTGGCTAAAACACAACAGCTACTCCCCTAGAAAGCTCCGGGTTCCATCTTCCAACATTTCTGAAAATTCACCACTAGCTTTGGTAGATTAATCTAATCCTTAACTATTCTTGAATTTGCCTAGCTGCATCTTGCAGCCATTGATTTGTATTTGTCCTTCACAAACAGATAAGAGATTCCAGGGTTTCTCACAGCAAAGACAATACACCTTGACAATAATCTCTCCATCTTCCTTTCGGCGAGATAAAAATACACAAATCGTTCAGTGTCACCTGAAGGCATTTTATCCAGCCCTCTAGATTTTGGTCCTTTCCCCGACTGAAATAAAACAAGCCAACCCCCAACACGAAGGCCAGTAAATCCATTAAAAAAATAATCATGTTATTAATTACTCCAAATTCTTTAACTTTTAGCAGCTTATCAATCAAAGGGGACTTCACAGCTAATACAAACGTGGTCAGTGTCATAGGGTGAGATCTTTAACAGCAACAAGATGAGATCTTAACTCCAGATTTTCAGCAGATAGAACACAATTCCAGTTAATTATCATTTTTGACCAAAAAATTGCCATCACTGTCTGTCCTTCATGTTTAATAGTGCATAAAGTACTATCTTTAAGTATGATATTTTGGCAAAAAATTATTTTATATAAAACCCCACAGCATCTCAACAAGTTTTTCTCTTCTTTGTCAAATCAAAGCTTTCAGTTAGAAGCTAAGCAAAAATATTCCCCTGCATCCTAGAGCATGCCTACCATTACGGGAATTTAAATATATACCAACTAGCTAAAGTGTAACACAATCCAGAGACAAAAAAGTCAGGCCTTCTCTCCACAAAAGAAAAAAAAAAAAGCCTTTTCTGTTGACTATAGGTAAGAAATTGCAAGCCTGCAACCAGAGATCACATTCTCATCTATGTACATAACAGTCTTGTACCCAAGCTCTGCATGAACAGGAAAGGGTTCAGTTAGAATTGAAACTTCAAAGACACACACTGTACCGAAGCAAAGTTACCCTCTCCAAATCCTTAAGCTTTAAGAACAACTACAGTGGAAGTCTGAGGAGACTTCACACCATCGTGCTTTCCACTGCAAGAAAACACTGCTACGGGAACTGCAACATGCACGTCATCTCTAGCCTGCCAGAATGGGTCTGACCAGCTTAGCTTTTAAGAATTGCAAAGTTCAACCATTTTTCAGATTAATTTTTCAAGTGATAATGAGATAACCTAAAAGAAGAAACCAATTACATTTTCTCAAATACCCGTGCATACAAGAGCATTGCATAGGAAATTCAAAACAAGGGACAGAGAATAGCCTTAGGAAAAAGAGTGGTAAGCAAGCCTTGCTTTTTATCTCTCCATTTTATTTGTTTGGATTTGTCAAAAGACAATTTACTGCACAGCTAAATGTGTGAAATAGCAGAATACCCACCATATACATCAGAATGTCTCTAATCATCACCATTGCTGTTTGATGATCATTCCACGCTTGGTTTAGTGTTTGTAGAAAGTTGTTATTCAAGGAGTTTAACACATCTTCTCGCACCTGAAGCAGAAAAAAATAATACATTGCCATGAAGTCAAGTCAGTTTTCTCCTGCAGCATTTAAATCTTAATAAACTTAGCTTCAGCACAAAAATTTCTTGCTTCTCTGTGAACTTGAATACTGCAAACAACTTCTTGCTTTTCCTGGGTCATGACCATCCCTACCTTGTACTTCCACTTTTCTGTGGAAAAATATGACTTCACACATGTAAGAAAAATCAGACTAAAAACAAGAGCAACAAAATATACATGGGTATTAAATTTCAAAGGAATTCCTGAAATCTCAAATGTAAAAGTATTTTTTTTAACAACTCTTCAAAGGTTTTATTTCCTATGTTATAGTTTCAAGTAATGCTAACTTTACTATCACAAGTAATTTCAGAATACTGGGTAGTAGCAGTCAATATTACAAACAGGAGCAAGTTCAGGTGGAAAATTAGCCATGATGACATTTAGAGAGACAAGCTGAGATAGCATAAAATTACAGCAAACAACCATCACTTGGTAAAGACCAGATTCTTAGACTGATAGTCCGTCCATACTCTCCTACAATGAGGAAAAAAAGAGTAATCTTTGTTTATACAACGTATTTGCTCGTTGATTCACCTGTCTCAACTTCAGACTTTATGCCTCTTTGCCACTACTACTAATAAAAAAAGAGCATCCAGTTTCATATTTTGATTTTATGCAGTAGACATATAGTCCAGTGCTTAAACTCATGTAAAGGAGAGACCCATGGGAATGTAAAAAAAATTATTCCAGAGTTAACAAAATGTGTGAATTGACTTCTGACATAACATTCAGAATTTATTCTGCCCTCGTTGTAACCCAAGAGAATGTATTCTCACATTTACAGATCTGCACTTATGCTTGGGTGAGTGCAAATTTCAGTACAGAGAACTCAAAGAGGAAAATAAAATGCACACAGCAAGCAGCCACAAGCTGCACCAACATCACATGCAACCACCTGAGACACTTCATTCTGTAAAGTTTTATGAAGTTACTGGGCTAAACCAGCAGAACGAGGAATTCTGTCTGCCACACTCCATAAACTTGGATGAGCAAACCAGAGACAGAGCATGGCACGTTGCCCAAACACAATGGTCTCTTCTCAAGAAGCTCTGGAAGCTTATCCCAGTAATATTCACCCTGTTCCTGAATCTAGGCAGTATGTGTATCTATAGGTTGTTTAAAGCTTTCTGAAATCTTCAAACACCTACTGTACAGACCTGAGCAAGGCCTCTCCTTGTTCTTTCAGAACATAATATGCAGTTTTAAGCACTGCTTAGCTGCCTCATTCTTTCTGATCGTGATCATCATTTACCCTTTGGTCTCCCAAATGCGTGCTCTGTTAACATCCAATCTATGTAGTTTTTAGCCAAAATATAAATATGCACTGAAAACTTCAGCAAACATACTTGTGGAGGGTATGCAGGATCGCCCAGAACAAGAGAAACACACATGACACGGTTGCTTTCACTTCTTTGGTCAGTACGGAATAACATCCAAAAATGTTATTTGGTAGATCACCCACACAGGTAAAATTTACCAAAGCACGATTAGACTATAAGCACAGATAACCAGGGACATAAATTCTATGAGACTTTTTTTTTAAACAACACAGGGGCAGTGTGCCTTCATCATTACTCAAATCCATCACAGTAATGCTACTGGGCCAGCCCAGTGCCAAATCACACACCAAGGGGGAGCAGAAGGGGGTTCTTGCCACCAGGTAGCAGTGCTGAATTCCTTCCAAGCAGACACCTGAACACTCCACAACTCTGCTCCATACAGAATGTCGCCTGGCTTTCTGGAAATGTGTTTTGAAGTCAGGAATGGGTGCTCTACAACAAAGCTACCTTAAGAGGATCTCTTCTCAGTGACGTTCTCCAAGGTTTATTTTAAGTTGCAGAGAGGTTTGGGAAGCCTTTCTTTTAGTTGCTACAAAAACCACCCAAATTATTGCTTGTAACAGCTGCCTAGTTAATAAGCGCCCAAAACATTCCTCGTATAGGCCATGAATACAACAATTTTACAGGAAAACTACTATAATGCACATAACATCTTAGCCATGCAAAGATGCAGAGTTAAACCACTTTGGTAGAATAAATGATTTGAAGTAAAAAAGCCCCTGGATATCCACACTCTTCTACAAGACAAGAATGCCCTTCAGAGAAACAGGTGCTACTCTTCCAAAGCCTTGGAAAAATCTCAGTCTCAAAGATTTTTATCAGCAGAATGTTACTTTGAATTAGCTCAGCTTGTAGTGATTTCTGTGATGATATTTGCAGCTATACAGTAAATCGGCAGGGGAAGCCAGTTTAAATAGGACTGTCCATATAAAGACTTGAAAATAAATTAGCAGCTTCATAATCTGTCATAAGTCGTCTTATAGTTGCAAGGCTGAAATCCAATGTATAACCTCAGGCTCAACTGCATTTGGATACAGCTCTTCAGGAAATACAGAACCCTCCCCCCAGTCTCTTTAAGAATGGTTGGCAGAAGCTTTCAATACCTTTAAATAACTCTTTATTAAGTGTACACAAAGCAGACTTATGGCCTAGTAGTTTCTCTCTCACAGTGCCTGGCCTGATGCAGCAGCACAAATAGTTCAATTATGTAATTTCCACTACTGTAAGGACAGCCAGAATCTTCTATGGGGAGAGAACAGCACTTTCTGAACTAAGGCCTCAAGCCCTCAAAACTTTTATTATGGAGTTCTTTTACCTTCTACAAAAATCCATGTAGTCTAAAAGACAGTATTCTGAAATCTTAGGAGTGCAAAGTAAGTTCACAGATTAACTATGACTTCACCAGAAATGTCTGTTCCTCCCTGCTGCTGCTATCCTATTCTGCTGAAAGAAAAAAACCCACCCAATACTGAAGAATACTGATGCTTCTGAACTGTTACTTTCTGGCAATTCCCTCACATTCTTTTGCCCTCCATATAATAGTAGTCTTGCAAAAGATCATCTGAAAACATCGTTAAGAAAATATAAAGGCAGATAACACTTCATACATTGTCAGTCAGGCTTACAGTACACCTAATGCTCAATGGGTAATTTGCCTCCTACACAACTTCTCGTGTCATTCCTCCCTGTTTCACTGATGTTATGGAAATAATTTCAAATTCCCTGTAGGAGATGCCTCTCTTATCTCTCCCCTTCTCTCTGTGACACCACAATAGCAAATTTTAAAGCTTGCAAAGGATGCCAGACATAACTTTCCGACTCCCAGAGCAGACAACACTTCCTTCAGCCGACACCTTCTGCACCAGCACCCCACACAATTCCTTCTGCCTTTGACACTGCCACAATGACCAGCTCTGTGCCCTCCCAACAAACTCCTTTCTTGCATGCTTGCCTTTATTATTATTCTGAAATACCAGGCACTGTCCCTACCAAACTCTACCAGCTGTATCAGCAAAGCACACTGTGTCATAAGGCATTCTGGCATGGCAGCAACAGAGATGTTTGGTAAGAGCAAGACACAGTACAGGACAGGAGGATATCCCAAGCACCTCTTTCTTTTTAGAAATGCTCTAGTGTTTCCCCAAATCAGCATGGTTCAGTCCATTTAACTTTAGGACAGTCCTTTACATCTCTGAATCTGATGTACACTGCTGGCTTGACCAACATATCAATGAACTCCTTTGTCACACACACAGTTCACAGAATGTTTATGGCATGTTGCATGTCATGGGTTCAGATTTCACTAGACTATGATGTGTGCATAAAAATCATAGAATGGCTTGGATAGGAAGGGACCTTAAAAATCATCTCGTTCCAAACCCCATGCCATGGGCAGGGACACCTTTCACTACACCAAGTTGCTCAGACCCCCATCTAACCTGGCCTTGAACACTTCCAGGGATGGGGCATCCACAGCTTCTCTGAGCAACCTGTGCCAGTGTCTCACCAGCCTCACAGTGAAGAATTTCTTCCTAATATCTAATCTAAACCTACTCTCTTTCAGTCTGAAGCCATTACCCTACATGTCCTGTAGGGTAAAAAGTTTCTCTCCATCTTTCTTGTAGGCTCTCTCCAGGTACTGAAGGCCACAATTAGGTCACCCTAAAGCCTTCTCAAGGCTGCATTCAGTTCCTCTGTCTGTGTCATTAATGAAGATATTAAATAACCCTGGTCCCAGCATGGACCCCAAAGGACACCACTTGTCACTGATGTCCATTCCTTTGTCCACTGAGGTTGTCACTCCATCATAGGCGGCCACAGGGTTGGCCAGGCAAGACTTGCCCTTGGTGAAGTCGTGCTGGCTGTCCCAAATCATCTCCCTGTTATCCATGTACCTTAGCATAGCTCCTAGAAGGATCTGTTCCATGATCTTCCTGGACACACAGGTGAGGCTGACAGGCTGGTAGTTCCCAGGGTTCTCCTCTATACCCTTTTTAGAGATGTTTCCCTTTTTCCAGCCACCTGGGACTCCACCTGACTGCCATGACTTCTCAAGGATCAGGGAGAGTAGCCTGGCAACTTCATCAGCCACTTCCCTCAGGACTCTGGGATGCATTTCATCAAGTCCCATAGACTTATGTATAAAAGGAACTTTCCTGTGAACTTTTTAACATCAAGATTTTTTTTTTTTATTGTAACACAAGTGATGTTGCTTATTGTCAAATGGTTTAGAGAACCGTAAACTAAGCTCTGTTTTCAAAAAACACTCAACACTTGTATGCAGAAGTAACAGCCGAGGTTTGAGAGCTGCGAAGGAAGACCATCCACATCGAGTTACAAGATTGCCAATGGGCAAGAAAGGGAGAAATCAGTGAAGTACCTGATGCCCAGGAATTAAACACTTGAATTCAGATGAAAGGTTTCACTGCTTCCAAAATTCAATAGTATTTTTTAATAGGTCTACACATACCCTACTTAAATAATGATGTCAATACAAGTTTTAGCATGCCCTTACCCTCTAGTAAAACCAGGATACTTCAGGACAGCTGATTCCTCTCAGTGATGCAGAGTACCTGCCCTTCTATCGCCCTCAGCAGGCAGCCAGAACCTGGTGATCAGTACTGACAAGCCATTAGGGTGTTCAAAACCAAGCACACTTGATAGTAATGTATCTTGTATTGATCCCATTTGCACCTATCATTTTATTTACAATTAAATAGGCTGCAAGGACAATACACTGTATTATGTTCTGTTGAGAAGTTAAATACTTTTCTTATCATTTACTTATCTAATTAAAATGTTGAATAAGCAGAACTTTCTACTAATGGTTAAATAAGCATAAAGTGTAAATACAGCTCTTAACCATGCCTCACCAACAACACAAGCCTGTGCTTTCCAAGCTTTAAAGCTATTTGTAAAAACATCTGAACATACACATTGCCCCTACCCAGTCTCTTCATCTACTCTTAATTAACCAGCCTGACAGGAATACCGCAGCTTTTTTGTAAAAAGATAACCAGCAGATGTAGACAGCAAAGGACAATTATGTTGCAAGGATTCCAGTGATTTCAAATTTGGGTTTGGCTCCTCAGCGGCGCTCCCTGAATTGAGTGTAGTTCTTCAGTAAAAATCCACTCACTTCTGCACATTTTCATTTTTATAAAAGAAATTTAATGAACAACATTTCAGTTGGAAAAATCCCCTCTCCTAAATTCAAGCATTCACCATTGAGTCTCTGAATAGAAGTTAACAAAGACTTGTGATGAGAGGATTTATTGTTAATTAGCTACTTAAAATTTAACAGAGAACTGCCCTTGGAAAGAGACAGTGAACAGAAAAGATTTTTCTAAAATTTCTCTGACAAAGTGTGAGGATATCTTACCACAAGTACTAATGGCACAAACACAAGATGTCATTATAGAACTGATCCTATTCTTAATAATCAGTGCAGTATTTTTTCCATACTTCTATCTATCACTACCTGACATGACGTCCCTAAGTAAATACTCAAAAGGGACAAGGAGTAGTTTTGAGCCTACAGAAGTTTTCTTTATTGCTAAGAAAATTTTGGCAGAAGTCACATCTTCTTTTTTTAGTCCTTTTCTTGGATTATTTAATTTATCGGATGGCATCATCAGAATAATTTAGCCTTTTTACCTCTACAGCAATTAACAACTAAAACTCAGTAGTTAGCCTTTTTATTTAAAAAAATTTGGTCATCTATTTTTATGTTACCCATACACATGGTTATAATTTGCTTAATCACATTAAAGATCAGAATTGTAGGTCACTGAAAAAGACTTTTTTTTTAAAGCATCAGATATGATGTTATTAAGTGTCAGAAAGGCACTAGTCTACACTGCTATTTGTGCAGTCCTCTCAGCCAGTGCAGTGAAAGTACAAACTCAGGATCTTCTGCTCTTTTGTTAATTTTCCACAATCAGCACTTCAGAATAATTTATTTTGCAAATGGATAATTTTTAATATGCAAAATAGCTAGGAACTAAGATAAGAAGTTGCAGAATACCAGGTAACAAGAGCAGCTTCCCTCAAACTAAACCAGGATAAACTAAAGCCTAGGAATAATAAAAATTCAGTGTCCTATTATTACATACAGACTGTAAACATTGACATATTCATGGCACAAAAAGCCTCAGCCATTCGCCACATTTTACATGAATAGTACAGATTATGCATGCACAGATTTTGAAAACAGAAGAGTTTGAGAGTCACAGATGTGCTACAGTTATAGAATAGAGCTTTAAATTATCCAGCCACTTCACACAGGATGTGTACTCTCGTGCACCAGTAAAAGAGTCCACCTTCAAAGCAGTTTTAGACTGTACTTGTTCAGACCACACCTTTGAAACTAAGACTTTAGAAAGAAAATAACACATTTCTCATCCACAGCAGTAACTCCAGTTGGAATGCACTAAAAACTCCCAAAAATTCTGCATTAGTTAGACATAAACCTCCCATCCATTCTCTTTAATTCGGCCATAAATAATCATCCAAGACACATGATGGTGTATAGGACTTTCCTTTTCAGATGTTGTAAAAGCAACCCTTATCTGGGAGCAGAGTGGACACGTGTCTTTCTTCAGAGATAGGCAGGTATGGAGCAAGGCAGGAATCTCTCCAGACTTGGAATTCCTATTACCCCTAAATATTACGTGGGCTCCTAAAAAAGTGAGTTTTAACATCTTTCAATTATATACTTATTAATCAATTCTAAACTTTTCTCTCGAAGACAGGAGAGGTAGTTCCATGGTTTAACATAAGTCCTAAAGAGTCCTTTTCTCACATGATAAATCTTCAGAAACAAGAAGTTTCTGCATGTCATTTTAACTGAATTACATGGTTTTGCAAAGGCTGAAATGATAGGATGCAGATTACTCAGGACTTTTGTCGTTGCTGAGCTGATGTTTTTGAATAGTGCCTACTGCCTCTTTAAATAGCATAATCCTAGCACAACTCTCTCATTAACTTGTGAATTAGTTCATTAGCCCATAACAAACATTGGTATTTATTTTGTTCCATGGATGAAAAAACTGACTCAAAACGAACCCAAAATTTGGCCTAAGAAAGTCACAAAATGCCAACAAAAAGGCCACAAACCTTAAAAAAAAAAAAAAAGATTCCCAGCTCTCAGCAGTTATTCTTCAACAAAAGCTGTTTCCTGTTGCACACTTTCAAACACTTTCTGTGGTCTGTCCTCCATTAGTAACTTACAAAAAACAGCACCTGGAACATGAAGTCATTTGAGCTGGGTTTTAGCTCTGTGCTACCCTTTCTGAGAGAAGCTACACAATTGCAGCACAAGGCAACTTTATTAAGTTAGATTTTTTTTTTGTCGTTTAAATAACCGTTCAGAATTCTTTCCTGTAAGACACTTCCATTTTAATTAACAAAACGACAAACCTTGTTTATTAGATGCTCAGTGACCACTTCTCTTAGTCCAGTGTAGAGTTTTTCACCGTGTTTGTGCAACACCATTGTATATGCATTCCTATACAGCTCCTCAAAACTGAGACCGCTATTGTTCTTACGCTGGATCTCTTGGATTGCATTTTTCAGAAGATCCCAAATGCTGTTCACATATTTCTCATCCATAGTCATCTGTAAAAATAAAACAATATGTTATTGTTTAGAATCAAAAAAAAAAAAGGATATAGATAATAGAAGGTAATTGTTCTGCCACATCTTGTTGATTTCGTTATCACAAGGTTTCTCAAACTTTATTAAAACAGTGTTCATGAAACTAGCAAAGGTTTAAAGAAATAGTAATGAAAATTGTAATTTGTTAAAAAGTTTAATGGTTTTTCTTTTCGGAGCTGCAAATCCACAGAACCCAACTCCAGAGCCTCTGCAGGTGGAAAGGCAGGTAATCATGGACATGAGGCTCTTCCCTACTTTTCCTCCACAGTGCTAAAAATGATAGATGGGTAACTCTCATCCCATATGAACATATTACTTGGCACCTCCTAAATTGTACTGCAACACTGATCTGCTTCACCAGACCCCAAATCAACCTGTACAATAACAGATAATGCCTGACACAGAGGTAGCAAACTTAGTCATCTGCTTGATCCAACTAAGAGCTTCAAAACATGACAGATAAAGCAGTATCTGGGATTGCAAGTAAGTGTATCAAAAAAATATCAAATGTCAGTATTGCTCAAAGTTTGTGATTCAGTCAAGTTTCATCATGCAACTGTAAAAAATATCCCACTTTTTAACTGAACCAATTTTAAAAAGCAATGTTTAAAGTTCAGTTTGGTTTAGTTTATACAAAACCAGGAACTGAGTTAGCATTTTACGTCTAAGGAAAAAGGATGAAGAGTGAAGAGAAAAAAACTGCTATTCCCAGAGTTACTGTGGAAAAAGAAAATATCCCACACACCAATCTACCAATATTCCAGATACCAGTCTACCAAAAATGTCAAAGTAGCCTTGAAAATAAGAGCTAAAGTAGTAAAAGAGTAAAGAATAATGGTATGACACTACAGAGGGAAATCATGACCAGCTGTAGTCTACCTCTCCTTCCCCTTCCACCCAAGAACCATTAAGTGAACAGAGGAAAAATATGGAAAACTAGATTTGACTGCATTTGTAGTCAAATACAATTATTAGCAGAACTGTTTTCATTACAAGTATATTTTTACATGTATTTTCACAATCACATATCAACTTCTCTGGGCATTATAAACAAAAGTACAGCTCATAATAAAGAGAAGTCATTCACTGCCTTGGGAGCGAAGGGTGAACAAAACCAAAACAAGACACACAACACACATCTTCCATCCCGCTTGTCTTTTGGAGTTTTGATTAAATACAAAAATTTTATGATAAAAATAATCCTATCACTACTTTTTCCACTTCTCTGATACCAGATCCACTAGACCACTCAACTACATGTACCAAAAACTTGAGATATGGTATTAGATATCAAAAAATTCTTAGCTCCCCATCTCCCAGAAGTAAAGCTTCAAAGTAGCAGAGGAATGGTGGATGGAATGTCACGTGTTCCTCCACACTTTTTGCTTATTCTGCTATGTGTAATCCTGAAAGGTCAGTCATTCTGTTTTTAATTTGCATTTGCTACGTTGGTGCCTCTTCAGGGAAATTATTTTCTAAAGCCTTCCTGAACCAGCAATTTTTGCAAGTACTGATAATGAAGGCAACCATTTAGATTCGCAGACAGCAATCCAAGTAAAAGCTTTTCAGTCTTCCTTTCAAAGAAATGAGGTTTTGTTTTCAAACAAAGCATAGACTCGAACCAACACCTCCTAATGTCCTTTTTCCCCCTTGCTAATCAAGTCTCTCCAAGCCAACATGACCTTTTTATCTCAACTGCAATTTAATTGCGCACTGTATTTTAAAAAAGGTGTGATCTGTATAAACCAGGCAAATCACTGGGTGCTCCTCTGCAGAGGTGTTCCAGCACTGCTGCTTCTGGGCTGGTCACAGTGACCATCTCTGTGTGTTACAGATAAAGCAGCACACCTGATACCTCAGATCTGTTCAGGAAAAAGATTAAAAGTGAACTGTTTTATTCTTTTACTTTTAATCCAAATGCCACAAAAACGAAGGAAAGACTGTCATGTTATGTGCTCCAAACTCACTGAATACAAACACGAACATAGAGCTTGCTGCCACTTAACAACTGACACACCACAAGCTGCTCTGGAAGCGCAAGAAAGGTCCATAAAAGGTAATTTTAAAGAAGTACACACCTCCATGGGATAAATATATAGAAATATCTGAAAAAGTATTATAAACTTATTACCTTTTAGGATTAAGCATGAAGGACTCTGCTTTTCAATGCAGCCTCCTACTCTGCTGATGACTTAGATTAACATCTGTGAGGTTTTAAGGGAACAGGTTTGCTCAAGTTCTAGGGTATCAAGTTAGAAGAGCACTGTCTTCCAAAAAAGCTCTAGCACAGCTGGCTTGTTTGCAGCAGTATTTTCTAACAAAGCAAAGACTCCTAACACTTTAAATAATTCCATTCTATTTGGCAGTAGGTCACTGCAGTAAAGCCTGAGCAAAAATGTATTATTTCCTCTCCACTGCTGAAAAATTGTGTAGCATTTGAACAGAAGAGGTCTTCCTGTATTCTCAAAGGTTTGTAAGATGTGCAATGACTAAATCTACCCTTGGATTATTTAACTCATAGGTTCATCTCTGTTCATCCCCTTTCCTTAAGTCAGGCTTGTATGACGATTTAAAACCCAAACAACTAACCAATACATACGTTTTTGATACTACTCGAACACTTTGCCATTTTTCAAAATTCTGTACAAAAGCATCTCTGAAAACACTATTTGAGAACTGTGACTCAACAGGGAAAATTAATGCAACTCTCTGGATCCCTACTCTGTGAGTGATAGACTTCCACAAATATGAATGCAGAATCAGAGCCCTGCTGTTTTTCCATGTTCATTCCCAGATTTCTTTTAACTGTTATATTTTAAAAGTGAACTCCACATTTTTAATACAGTTGCCTTGCTCGTGTCATGTATTGTTGCAGATTTAGCAGAACTCAGATTGCTGCTTCTGCTGGTGCTTTTAAAAAAAGACACACAGGTCTGGAAAGGCTTTCAGAAGCAAAATTCCATTAACTTCAGCAGTGTCTACACCCAGATTCACCAAGATAGTAAGAAGCCAGTGTCCAAATAGAGGAAATGTGCTAATGTACTCCTGCTTATCTGAACATTACCTTTCTTGGGGAATGGGAGAGAGACCAAGTCTGTTATTGGCAGGAGAGAGAGCTGTTTATAAGAAGCCACTAGTTGGAAAACTTCCACAAA